TACATCCCAGTGCTAGTCAAGAAAAATGTATTCAGTGTGAAGAAATATTTCTTTTCGACAATTTTATTTTCACCTCTTAGTCACGGTCCCTTTCTTAAATAATCTTTTCTGTATTTGATACACTTAAATCCTACCCCCGTATGCTTTACAAACACGTAATGGATTTTTATCATTTGTACTCATTGAGCAATTTTTTTTAGTGATACTGACTTCTTAAGTATTATAAAATACGACTATAAAGTCATGCATACCTACTGCTGAAGAGTAACAAAACAGGAAGAAACAAGTGTTCAGTACTCCCTGTGTGGGGTGTGTTACTGTCAAGAATTTGCAAGTAGTGTATATGATTGATGATGTCTTCTGCGACAGACTTGAACAGTGTGGAGGATAGATTAAGATGGGAAGAGAAAAAAGTGTAGAAAGCATAGAATGAGGACGAAAAAAGCAGAATACGAATAACTTTTACAAATGGAAACCTCAACATACGGTTTTTGCATTTAGTCATCATTGTAGATCATTATGTCAAATAAACAATTATACTACTGCCTAATACCATTGTGTTCTGTCACTACCCCTGGTTTCCAATGGTTCTTTAACTGACATTCCTCAGTTTATGATCTAACTATAAATCAATCAAATATCTTCAAACCAACAGTTGGAAAACAAAAACAATTTCTTTACTGAATAAATCTTTGATTTCCTTATTCAGAAAAATATCATCCATTAATTATGTTCGTCTATGAAGCAGAAAAAAAGAGGCGAGGTAACAGGTTAATTTTCCTAAGAATAAAGTAGAGGAAGAAGGTGTGAACTAGTTATGCACAGCTAGCAAATGAGTCAAGCGTTTAAATTGTGAGTCAGTAGTTTATGTCAATCAAAGCATAATAAAGAATTCACTGAGCGCAGAACTTTGAACTAGTGCATGGAAGTAGTAGTTGAGGTTGCTACACGTCAAATAAAAAGTAATAGTAGGTGAAACAGAGAATAGTAAATGTGTTAAAGGTTATTAGAATGACTGACAAGAGACGGATGAAGAGGATTAGAAATAAGAAAGAGGTAAAACTTGAATAGATTTATAACACTAATGCTGGTTTTGAATCGTATCGTTCAAGCCTATAACCATAGTATCCTTTGTTCAAGCGGATACTAGTCAGGGAACCTATACAGCTTAAATCAACACTTAGTGACTTCACGAATTTGTACTACATCTAAATCTGACTACTTTCTGTTCAGAAAACATACGAAGTAAGGTTAAACAGTAGGCACATCCGCGTATCACAATGAAGTCACCTTTAAGTGGTGAATGTCTATAACTTCCACAAAAGCAACGCAAGACTCTACACCTAAAGTCGGTTGTGCGTCGGTGGCACAGCGGTTAGGACGCTTGCCGACTATGCACATAGTCCGGGGTTCGATACCCCGCCGACACACACCTGATATCAATGGTCGGCCTGCTAAATTTGGGCTACCAATTTCGCATGCTGAAAATTCCATAGTTGTACCAAAATACGGTGTGGAATCAATCAAGTGATACAAAGAGACAGCGTATCAAACACCTTAAGTATTTGTTAATACATTAATTTTGATCTTAGAATAGGACATGGAGAAATACCGAATAGTAAGCTTGGTCTTTAATGGACAATAAAGTATTTTGTCTGAATTATAAGTAGTACAGTTAAGTAAAAGCTAAGTGAACTTCTTTTTTCCAGATGGGGATTCCATCAAGAGCATCAATCTATCTAGTCTAGTGTGGTGTCTAAGACATATAAGACGGTTGATACCCTTCACCAATTCACTTTTCCTGTTAGAAATCAAAAATCGAAGTAATAAACTGGATTTGTTGGTGGATAAACGGATTTTAAATACTCGCTTATATTGTTGAGGGAGTTTTCTTAATAGAACTATGTCACTTGCGTAATCTAGGTTAACGCAAGAATTCTGGACGGTTAAAACAGATTCATGATAAATGAGATGATAGTCTCAAGCAGTGCTGTATTCGAAGACTTCCCAACTAGGCTACTCATGTCGTATTTGATATTTGACCGATAACCTCAAACGATCCAACACCAATTCTAACTGGCAAGTCACCAAGCCTTCTGACCATATTGCAGACTTAACTGGTAGAATTCAGACAGTATCAACACCATACTTTGATAATACTACTTATGATTCTGTTAACATTCATCCCTGTTTATTTGACATTAGATCACATTTATTTCACTATCCTCAACAATCATAATTTCTAGTATTTTAATTATGACACCTTTTATTCAAAATTCAATTGTGCCGCAATTAAATGAATATTGAATCGAAGTGGTTAACTAATAGCTAACCATGGAATTAATTATAATGTCATTTTGGCAATGGCAGTCTTCAAATTTTGAATTGAATTAACCTCAATAAAAGAGGAAACAACTAATATTACTGATTAAAAATGAGATAAAATGAATTAATTTGATTTATATGCCATTACGTGTACAGTTTTGAATTTATAATGTGAAGTCACTACTAAATGTAGGTATCTTGCCACGAAGTCGGACTAACAGACCCCACAGACCACACACACACACACAACAGGCTCCCATGGGAATCCAGGGTATGCATTTATTTTGTATTTGAGACTGATCAAATGGATGCGAGTGATATTCCTAGTGAGACTGGAACATATAGTTTCAAACGTAGAGGCGCTATACCCGCGTCGAATGACTGACGAGTCCCAGAAAGGATGTAATGTGCATGCTGGAATTCACTATTAAGCATAATGGCCCTGGCTTATGTAATGCTCTTAACTGAATTCTTCTTGAGGTTGTTCCAATCCTCTGATTAGGGCAAAACAGATATTCAATTCTCCCTATCTATGAGTGATTTTAAGTAAAGAGATCCACTACCAATAAAGATATACCAACTGACTGGAATATTGTTCATACATAAATCCTGTTTTCGTCCATTTGTTCTCTGTAACATTCAGTGTCTGTTATTTTCAAAATATATTTCAATAGCGCGTCAGATTGATTAGTTATCAAGAACCACTTTAACAGTTGTTGGCTACTGTAACAACAGAAGACAAGGGCCAGGCAACAGATCAGTTTTATTACGAAAACCAACAGGTATTTATATGTATTTTACGTACATTAATAAGGCTCTGCCCACAGAAAGAAGGCGGTCTTCTGATTGGTTGTTTGCAAACAAACGCAGTCTTCTGCTTTCTCGTTTTCGATATTTCTCGGAAATGCGAGCCACTTGTCTGCGAATCATATTTGTCCACGTCTAGGTCAGCTGTGATCGGTTGTTGAATCAGCCTAGATTAATTTCCACCAATCAGCGTAGATCAATGTCTACCAATTGGCTAGCAGCTTGCTCTCACCACACTACTACTGCTACTTTACAGGCGTCGGATTATAGGAATTTGATTAATTTCGTCACAAACTGATGACATTCACCAACAGTGATGTAGGGTTCGAATGACAATGTCCTCATCACGTAGCCTGAAAGTCCTGAGTTCAATTCCTGGAAGGGTCATGAACATGTGGCGCTGAAGAGTCCTCGACTAGAATGAAACAGTTGTGCCATGCTCCTTGGATATCTAAGTGGTTTCAGTTCCACTATCACTCATAATTATCTTCAATCTATGAAAAAGATTTCCATCGCTGTAGACCTCGGTGACTTTCCAGACTTATTTCTCAAATTTATCATGTTTTCACATAGCTATACCCAACGTTTAATAAGGTATCCAGCTGAAACTAATTGTCATCAGATTAGTGCGATAACTTTACCAAATTAGGAATTCCTCAGACTACATGCCCGCCGTAGGACAAGCAAATATCCTTGGTTGAGTTATAGCATACACAGCTGCGGTAACGTAACGGGAGGAAATTGAAAAGATGTGACGTCTTGTAAACGCATATCAACCCAATATGGTAGTAAGTTATCCGAAGCAGTAATGCATTGAACTGGGGATAAACGGTCCAGATCAAATCACACCTAGAGTTCCAAACAGCTGACTTTAGGGGATAAAAAAAGTTAAGAATTAATAACTAGCATTAACTGTTCATTGTCTTCAAGACTGTTAACGCTTTATTCCCCTCATCAAATGATTTATTCACACTCTTCTCACACCACTTGTTGTTCATCTTAATTTCTACCTGACTTTTTTTGACGTGATGTCTATAAAACTGATTTCCACCGATAAATGCAGCTTAATAACAATAGAAAGCTCCTTTATTTACACAGAATTGTAGACTAGAACTAGTAATAACTACTTAAGCAAAAAAAAGTTAAGGATGAGTTCAACTGTGGTAATTTTAACCCTATGTTAGCTGGAAAAGAGCTAGCGGCGGTCATACCAAAACATGGCACCAGTCAATGAAATCCACAACAGTTAGTTTAAGCCACGTAGGAAGGTGTAGACTTCCTGACTGGTTGGGGTCCTCGGGACGGTAAAAACCAATAGCTGGAGACAATTTGTGATATGGCTCAAAATCGTTCTCAATGGCTAGCGCAGATGCATCCACTCCTTGTGAATTATAATTTGCAATGAAACTATACTGTTCTTCGATATTACTATTCCTTTGTCTTACACCTCTGTTTACTGTCTATATTATGCATTTCTTCTACTTTCTCTTGCTTTGTGTGCTACATGGAGTGTGGCGAATTGAACTACTGCACATCGAGGCAAAGTTCTATTTCATAAACAGACAGACAGATAGACAGAACCCTTCCCTCCACCACATCAAAAAGACTTTTTCACTGATTGTCGCTTTAAAATCAAATGCGGAACATACTATAATCATTATCATATTAACAGTAATAATAATAATATTTCTCAGACTTTGTGGAACATAGCACTTCAAACTCCTGAATCATCAGTCGCCATGGTGTTATTTTCACTCGGTGGATTTGCTAACGGCTAGGCAAGATTTAGCAGTCCGTCGACTGGGAATCGAACCCAAACCTCCCATGGTGTTTGGCAGGCGCTCTCTACCATAATAAGTAAAAGACCATTTCCAGTCGTTGAATTTATATTTATTCATCGTCAAGAAAAAAACAAAACAAACAAAAACAATTCTGAAAAATTTACAAATTAGTTCTATTTTTTTTCTTCAATACTGAACAACATGTTGCACCAGTTAAACACATTTTTCACATAGAAACATTCTGGTAGAGTTTTGTTAGGCATTTTGGAAGTACACTGCACAAGGTAACAAACAATACTCTGACAGTAGACTATAATGATGAAGGTAGTCTCAAGTTAAAGAACAAAGTGGTTACAAGGAAGAAAATTCAACTGTACAGAATAATGTGTGAGTGAGTGTAAGTTTACGTGTATAAAAAAAAAGAGAAGAGAAATTAGGTTTAAAATAAATAATAATAATGAAAAGAAAATCTTCCAAATAATCCCAATAGAAAGAAATATTTAAAAAGTAACTTTGACATGAAACTTTCTTGGGACACGTGATATACGCCATGAGTCTTTCTCTTCAAATTTACTAAACAATGGTTCAATACGCATTGACTTTTTAGCACGTGATAACTTGGTTGGATCACCAAATTTAAAGAAATTCGGAGCAAATTCAACTAACCAACGTGGATCAATTGTTGTCACTTCACGCATATACTCTTTAGTTGTCATGACAAGTTCATGGTATACAACCCTAAATGATTTAAAATATACACAGAAACATAGAGAACATGAGATAAACATGAATGAATGGAAAAAATCAATAATTGAGAAATAATTAACTTTAATAAGAATTATACAAGGTCAATAGAAAAATACAAATTTATATATAAATATATAATCCTAATCTTATCATAAATATCACGTAATGATATGATTAATAGGGTTATTGTAACTAATATACCTTCAAGAAAGATGATAACTCATAAGCAGAGTAAGAAAGGGTTAGAAAGAAGCACAAAAAAAAAACAACCAACCACATATGGACAAACAGAACTCATTACATTTTTAATTTCAAACACTTTCAATAATAACATCAAAGAATGAGACTCCATAGAATAGGTAACCAGTAGGAGCCAGTTATATTGGCCATTGCTCAAGGAATCTAATTTTCCGTGTTCGCGGACACCTACCAGTGAGGTTAAATAAAGGTGATGTTATACAATTAAAAGCGTTCTCTGAGCTGGTTGGTTTAGTCGCGAAGCTTTCGTCGTCCTTCCGGACAACATCTTCAGCGCCATATTTAGCTTTTAATTGTAAATCATCCACCTGAGCTACAAATCTTCTCTATTATTTCAAAGGTGATGTTAAAAGGGTATTTTTTATTCCTTTGAGTTTCCAGGGGAACATAGGCCTTCAAGCTAGAGCTTTGAAGTTTCGGTAGCAGTGGGTTTTATTTTTATTTTATTATTATTTTTGATTACAGCTTGATGCCTTACCGTATTTTCAGTACAAGTATGGAATTTTCAGCATGTGATATCGGTAGCCCAAATTTCGCAGACCGACCATAGATATTGGGTGTGCGTCGGCAGGGGATCGAACCCCGGACCATGTGCATGGTCGGCGAGAGTCCTAACCACTGTGCCACCGACGGAATGGGATTGCTAGTCTCACATCCAACCTCCCCTCTATGGCAGGTTTATTGCCAGCTAAGCGAGGTTTGGGAGTGCGTCAGCCGGGGATCGAATCCAGGACCACCTGAGTAGCTGGTGAGCATTCTACTTCTGCGCCACCGATGCACGTTAAGACGGTTAACAGTTCCATATTAGATCACCTCCTCGTCCAAACAGGCCACAAAGTCAGCATTGAAGAGTCGCTTTCTATCATATATTGGGCGTGGAATAAACTACCAAAGACTTCCAGTTACTGAACACTCCAAATAGAAGAGGCCATAGGGATTCACTTAGGTCAACCGGAGCTCTGTATACAAAAGAAACAGACCCAGTCACTATTGTCACCCTGGCCTGCTGTGGAACCTAAAATTTCATAGATCCTCTTACTTTCCTTAATTTATCTTACAATCACCTTAGTGTGATAGTGATGCTTTTGAAATGTGACCTATCCATATTATTGATTCAGTGTAATTTGAAACATAAATGTTGTTAATAACAATAATTCTTCAACTATAATGGTCATATAACTGCTGTAGAACCTGATGACGACTTTATCGAAAAGAATATCTTTTGTTCATCAATATATTTTTCAAATTTTTTCTATGGGCATCTTCAATGAGTACATATCTTCACCAAGAACTTCTGTGCAAAGGTCCTGGGTTCGAACTCCGGTGGGTGCGTACTGATGAAGAATCCCAAATTAGGCTGACGAAACAGCTGAATGTCCAGTACTCCCAGGTTTTCCAATGGTTTTTTAACCGATGTCAACTCATGATGAAGTTCTCCAACCAATCAAAGTTCCTCTATATTTCTGGTAGACTAAAACGACATGAGGTCATATAAGAAGACAGCACAAAACTTCTCACGTTTTAAATAGAATGTATCAATGAGACCGACTGTTATGTACGAGGTTTTCTCTGTGGTTGACTTGAGACTATAACAAGATTAATACTGTACAGTGCTACTGTGTTTTTTTGTATACGGTTAGAATTATACACAGGAATAAGTGATTACAACATAAATTCAGGCATTTATAATACCACTGTAAGACGAACTACAGAAGAAGAAAAAAAAATGAAATTATGACGTGGTATACTCTGGATGTCATCTTTACTTTGATTTCACTAAATGATTATAATGGATAGTATACATTTCCGAGTGTTGATTTACAAAAGTGATTTTATCAATAATAAGCTATAGGGATTTGGAGTAAAAAGCATAATAAAAATACAATAAGACGAAGGACTAATCTTCAGTTTAACTGGTATTACTGAACACAACAGATTCTTGTAGTAATTGCTCAGCATTAATAGACAATGTTGAGAACTTTGAAGTGATGAGTGATATGTTGCGGTATTATCGAAAAGAATACACACCAACACATTGAGCAAAAATGTACGTGCATATCTCTGAAGAAACCTAGACAGGACGAAACAACATGCGTTCTAGAACCCACAACTGTTATATTCACCTAGACACATGGGTTCAGGGTGATCAAGAATGCTCTGACCCCGGGTCGAGGCTCACCATTGCACCTCGGTGGGTTGAAACTCGCGACGGACCCTAATCGGGTGCGTTCGGGTGTGAAGTTTAAGGGTGTCGGTGGCACAGTGGTTAGAACGCTCGCCGCGGACCATGCACATGGTCCGGGGTTCGATACCCGGCCAACACACACCCAATATCAATGGTCGGCCTGCTAAATTTAGGCTACCGGTATCACATACTGAAAATTCCACAGTTGTAGCATATAATAAAATAAAGCTATCACTAGCTTCATTCTGTTGATATCATTTTTCAAGGATAAGTGTGCAACAATAAGAAAGGAACAAGAGATTAGGTTCCAATAGATTTATTGGAAACGCACTGCACTGATCCATAAAGTTCAGCAACTCGCAGGAGTTTCAGCCAAATACAGTTAGGATGATTGAAGTGTTAAGTACCAACCAGTGTTTGATGACTCTTTGTGACATGGTTCAAAATCATTTACTATATCGGAGATGTATCCAGTCGTTGTTAACATTCTACTTCATATCTTCAAAATATTCATAAATCTTTATTAAATTAACTTTCTCGCCTGTACATCTCTGTCCATTTCAGTTTCACTGAATTTCTTTTCTTCACATTTTATGTGTGGATTTCTGAAGTGTTACAAAAACTCAACCACAACAGCTTTCGCAAAAAGCCATACTCTGAGGAAACCATCAAGTGACATCACTAGACAAGCCATTGCTCGAGTGGAACCCGAAAGGGAAACGACGAGTTGGTCGTCAGTGCAAGGGTGGGTGACTTGGAGGAGGTCATGTGAAGAGGAGATGAAAACGTGTGGGCAGACTTGGAGCCAGGTGAAGACTCTAGCAGAGAACCGAACTCAATGGAGACGCACGGCTGAAGCCCTATGTTCCTCTAGGAATTAAAGGAAACAATAATAATGATAAAAATCAGTCAGTCAATTATCGTGAGTCTAATTTTAATCAGAAATTGACTTCAGCTAGAGAACCATTATATAAACCAGGGAATACGAGGCAGTTGTTTCGTACTAGTTTGCGACTATTCAGCAGTGCGCACCCATGAACCAACCCCAAAAGGAATCAAACCTACTATCTCCCACCACTGAGACAAATCCAATGATCTATGAATCCTATGCTCTGTCAATTCTTGATATATAGCGCGACCACCAGCCACTGTCGTCGGTGAGTATCTATCCTCGCGCCCCATCTTGGTGGATTTCACTGATCACAACTTGCCACTAGAACTTCAGAGTCCCAAACAACGATGAAACAATTGTTCAGAACTGCCTGGTTCACAACCATTCTCTAACTGTAGTCAATTCGTGATCAGATTCCTGCAAATCAATACTTGAAAATCATTGCGAGTGTTGATAATATGCATGACATGAAGTCATCAATGAGACTAGTATGGCGAAATATGTGGGGAGAACAATAATACTAAACAAGAGACTAAAACCAGCTTGAACAACTATCAGCACAAGCATGAAGAAGATACAATTAGTTCATGCATTCATTCCTGAGTAACAATGGTGTGTGGGGTGACGCCTATTCCTTTCGCAAATACCATCACAGTGTTTTTATTATGGACGAATACTTTCAAGAGAAGCAAAATGCAGTCACTAACAGAAAAATAAATAAATAAATAAACACATAATCTAACAACAACACAGGTTAATGTCAACAAACTAGGATGATAATAATAATAATTGCTATAATTTACACGCTTTAATTTTCTTAAATTATTATTGTTATTGTTATTACTTGAATATATATAGATTCATTCATTCTTTCAATGATTTTCACTTAACATAATATGAATATATTGAACCAGTTCTGGATATAGGATATCCTTTCTATTGACAAGTTTAAAAGATTAGGTAACTAGATATCGAAATAGAGAGATTACAACATGGAATCTACAGTTGTTTGTAAGCACGCACATACATACATACATACGTACATGCACACACACACAAACGTATTTACAGATGTGGATTTGATCGCATACGGCATGCATCTCACTCAACTATACAGAGGGAGAAGGGAAATACCCATCTTTTCCAAACAAGCGTTGGAGAAACTGTAAAGAATTATAAATAAGAGCAGAAAATTGTTTTTACGACGCCGATGTGAGAGTGAAACATAAGCTACTCTTTACTAAGGTATGAGTTACACTTGTTGTGTAAGGGCTAATGATACCACCCCAGTTTTCCTGACTAAACTTAGCAGAGCGACGTTTTTACCGGAGAATCGTTGAATACCTAAGCTAATGGGCCACATGTACATAGAAACTTATTGCAGTCATTATGCTTTTATTTATACGCCTGTTGGTTTGAGCCATTCAGCGGTAGGGAGGTGTCAACTACCTCCTGCTGGGGTCCTAGGGATGCTAAGGACTATTTGGCTTCAGACTGTTGGCGATATAGTTAGTACAAAATTGTTCTCAACGGTACAGATGAATTCGCTCTTAATAATCTCCCCTAGGCCTATATAGTTCTCACGTTTTTCTATGTAATTATTCTATCTTCCGTTCATTATAATTCTTCCTATTTTTTCCCTCTTCTTTTGTGTGCTGTATGGAGTGTGTGGCAACTGAAAATGCTGTACTATTATGCAAATTTCTACGTTGAAACTTAGTCAAACACACACAGCTTATATCACCCATAAGTAGCGTTTGACAACTTATTGTGATGTAAACTTTAACTCAGAAAAGTGTATTTGATAGATATGCATTGAATCGGATCCCAGTGGCCGGAAGGTCCTGAGTTCGAGCCCCAATGGGCACGAACTGATGATGATTCCCAAACTAGGATGAAACAGCTGTCCAGTACTCCCTGGTGGTTTCAATGGTTCTCTAACTGATATCAATCCGTGGTGAAATTTGAAAAATCAACCTACTTCTTAAAAATCAATTGTTGAATATTATAAAATTATCAGGAAAGCTACATTTTATCATCACAGACAGAATCAACGTAGAACTTTGTATAAAGTATACACGTTCAAATTGTTACAAATCCCGAATAAGCAGTTGTATGATGATAATACAATAGACAAGTTATATGAGTGTAAAAGGATGAACAATAACTCAGTGGAAACTCACAAAAAACGTGTTCATAGTTGCAGAAATTATATTAAGTGGATACATCCACGCCATTGTGAACGAGTTAGAGACATGTGATCAAGAGCCTTCAAAAGTTGATATTTTGCATTCCAATGATCCTAGACCAATCAATCCGGACTTAAATATACTATTCAGACGAATAATTAGACTACGTGACTTATGTGTTATAAGATCACCCGAAACCTAATCCTACTTATGCCTAGTCCGCTCGTCTAGAAAACAGCAGTATGTCGGTGAACATAACACATATCCCAGTCTTCTAAATCAATGAAGATTCACAATTTACTTCTTTAACACAAGTGACTATAGGTGATCGGCGGCGATTGCAAGACATAGTGTTTGGGCATTTTAACACTTGTCATTAAAGCGTATCTGCAACCAGTTAGGGACTGAGAGAATTCAATTAACACTAGCGACCAGTCACTTTCCAATGCTCAAAATGGTATCGATTACAGTTATAGAGGTAGTTGTATGCGGCCTGAATAGTTCGGTGGTTACACCTCTGGCTACAACACTCAGTAACGCGGATCTGAATCAGTCATTTCGAGCTTGAAGACACGTCTTAGTGATGAGTGTGGATAACTACGAAACTTGGGGTCCAATGATGCTGTCAATTATCATAAAAGCCATAGCATCACACTTCAGACTGATTTTGTGAGGTTACAGGATTTCATCATGAGCTGACATTGGTTAGAGAACCATTGGAAAACCTGGGAGTACTAGAGAGCTGTTTCGTCCTAGTTTAGGACTCTTCATCAGTACGCACCCACCGGGGTTCAAATCCAGGACCTTCTGGTTACAAGGCGAGCAAGCACGAAGATGCTTGAGCCACTGGGACCCGATCCAATGGCCCATAAAAATTCTAACTTCTGCCAATTCACGATATAGCGCAACCGCTAGCCAATGTCTTCGGCAAGTATTTGTCCTCACACCCGACCTGCTGCACCCTACTGGTTTTGTGAGGCCAAATCACCAAGCGCAGTAACCACACTTCAAAAAAAGACACATCACACTACACAGGCGTAAAACACAAGAAAGAGGTGTAATATCGATAGTTGCACTCAGAGCTCCGAAAACAAACACACAACTTTTAATTATGAAACATATTGTTTAAAATAAACATCAAATGAAAGGACAAACATGATTTCAGTCAACACAAGCAGTAAACTTAACATTTTTGAAGAAAATCAGGGTAAAACTACAAAAATGGCTACAAATCGAATTTTCTTTCAGTACACACATTAAACTACATTAATCTCACATAAAATGCATATTCAACTAGAAGACACTTTATTCCACAACTTTATATCATTCAATCAAATCATAGACTCCCAGAATAAAAAACTGGATGGGCTGATGGTAATAATGAAAAGTTGACACTTGTAGAATTCTTATTCATAAGCGCCTAATTAGACCATCGAAAAAAAGAAAGAAATGTGAACTTACCAATCCGGTTGTCGATTGAACAGTGCTGATGATGGATGAATATATACAACTTGTTGATCAACTAGTGTACGATAACCTTCTTGTGGATCTTTCTTTGCAGCATTACGAAAGAATCCAGACAGGATAGCTTTTTGAGCTAAGGCAGTTTTCTTGCCACAAGAAACAACATCCAGTTTGTGTCTGAAGTAGTAAAAAGATATTTTAAAAAAATATTTATTTAATAGTAATAACACTTGACTCTAAATACGAAATCATGTATCTTGTCTCAGCTAACATTAGTGGTGCGATTCGGCGAAAGTCAATCAAGTGGTGAATCTTCATTATCGGTCACAAACCCAATAGGTAAGTGAAATTCACTTTATATATTCAGATGTAATATCAACCCAGATTAATTCTGAAGGTGAGGAATGGATGTGAAACCTTTTTAAATAGTCACGTAAAATGTTGAGATTATTGTTTATTTTTGTCAACGTTTTCTCCGTTTGTGCATTTTAGGCCAACCAACTTATCTTCCGTAGAGTAGTCAACCATTATCTAATCAGATAATAGAAATAAAACTAGCATAACCATAGAGGTAACTGTTTCTTAAGAGATTAAAACAGTACCTAACCTTGTTTTTACAACAGATTGGAAACGATAATGACCCCCCTTCAAGATGAGCACAGTTATCGCATCCCCCTGAATGTAAGTCTAATTTTTTTCTATAAATGTAGTTCCAACCTTCTCATCAGCAAATTAAGCCTAGGAAGATTTTTCATTTGCTTTGTTTTTTTCGAATCCAATAAGCCATAAGACAATTGTAAACATGGACCAATGACTGACTGACATAGAATTCTGCACAGACGTGCAGCAGTTCAACTTGAGAGAAGAGATTAGAGAAAGATTCAAAAGAGAGGTAATACACAGAAATATGAGGCGAAAAAGAATAGTAATACGGAAGAACAATAGTGCTTTGGTGGATATGATAAATCACAAACAGTGAATGCATCTGCGCCATCACTGAGAATGATTTTGAACCATATCACCAGTAGTCACCAGTCTTCATTGGTTTTTATCATCTCGAGGACCCCAAAGAGGAAGTCAGTCTACACCTCCCGACGTGGCTCAAAATAACTGTAGTAGATTTCATCGACTGATGAAGCCATATTTTGGTTTGACTACCACTAGCTCTTTTCCAAACTTGTCCATCCTGTCAGCTAACATTGCCCGTCGAGGAAGGCGATGGCCAGGCAAGGGTAAAACATGTCCTAACCATCTCAATCGGTGTAACTTTGCAACCAAGTCGATTGATTTCCCCCCCCCCACCTTACCTAACACTCGACCGATGCTTTACCTCAATATTACTCACCCTATTATATAACCTAACTCGGGTTATTGCACAAAAACATGCTGTACTCTCAGTGATCAATCCGAATCCACTGTTGAGTTGACTTTGGTAGTTGCCATGTGGAATGATGAGTGTTCTTACATATAACGTTAGTAATAGTTTGGAAAAAAATATCTTAGAAAGGTTGTAATAAATCGGTCACTGTTATTACTTCGCTGAAATGAAACGGTTTTTTTATTCTGTTTCATGAATACGAATCGCACAGCAGGACGCTAAAAGTAATGCAAATCATATAGCAGAGAGTAAAGCATAAAATTTAGAAATTAATGAGAATTACATTTGGATCGTCACAGGTGAAGCTTCTAAATCCTTCCTTTTCAAGGTGAAGACATTACACCGCTGGTCTGAATATCAACTGAACGAAGCATCTTACAAACACACTAACCACCTTCAAATTAGCAATTAAAGCTCTTCTCAGAACCATCATTATGTATTTTTATACGGTTCAGCATCAATGGTTCTATTAGATGGTTGGGGGCAATCGGCAGGAAGCCTTAGACCTAGGCTACGTGCTAGTTGGCACTCGTCAGCAAGGCGCATCTGTAATTTTGAAGGAACTCATGTCCCACTCCTCTGAGATTCTAACCCACTTCACCCAGTACTGCAGTCAGAGACGCTACCACTGAGCTATTCGGGCTAGCGACTGACCTCCTGTAGGACTGTATTAGATACTGTGTCCAATCAAAGCATCAATGGTTCTAGTTGCATAACTCATTCGGTAATTGTGATATGCGAGTTAGACGACTAAGTTATTCTACTATCTATCAATGTACAAATCAGACACAAACCGCTCCACCCGCACACTAAAGCTAGCAAACGTTTCTACACTACAGATAATATAGTCTACAATAAAAGTAAGAGGAACAGGCTACATACACCACTCACCTATCCATAATACCGAGTAATTGTTTTCGAACATCTTGAGCACGTTTCAATGTTCTTGCTTGTAAGAAGTTATCATAACACCATGGTGCAGAGAATTTATTATTCTTCCATGCATTGTATACAGCTAACAGGGTAAGATGATCACCTTCTGGTTGATGAAATTTCGCTTTACGCTGATCTGCTAACTCAGTTTTCTCCTTAATAAATATGCAGTTAAAAACATATTTAAATGAGTTAGTGATAGCAGTAACAATTGTTATACCAACAAATAAATTAAAAAAAGGTGAATATTTTAAAAGAAGCATCAAAACTTATGGTCAACTGAAGTGGAGCATGAATGGGTAACGACAGATTAGGCATGGGTGCGGGGATGGCTGGCTGGCTGGATTCAACATAGAACTTGCCACCGAAGTGCAGCAGTTCCAGTTGCCACGTTCCAAAGAGCACACAAAGATAGACAAGAAAATGAGTGAAGAGAATCAATAGACCTTTGACAAGTATAAGAGTGAAACAGAATGAGTAATGGTAGAAAGGAATATGAAAGATTACAGAGACTGAATACATCTGCGTAAGCCACTGACAACGATTTTGAGCCATGTCACCTATTGTCTCCAGCCATTGATTCTTAGAGTCCCGAGGGCCCCAACCCGGAAGTCTGCATCTCCCTACCTGACTCAGTTTAACTGTCAAGGATTCCATGGATTGATGCCATGTTTTTGTTTGACCACCACTTACTCTTTTCCAACCTGCACCTACCTATATCAGCTAGTAATGCCCGTCCGTCGGGGGAGGCGATGGTTAGGCATATGCAGCACGTGACCTAGCCATCTCAATCTATGTAACTTTATAGCCTCTTCGATTGATTTTCCATCTTTACCCAACACTCTACGCCTAACGTCAACATTACTTACCTTATTATGCCACCTAACGTGAGAGAGAGATCGTAGACATCTATGATCAAAAACAGTCAACCTTTTCATGTCTGTGCGGGGATGACATGCAGAAGATAGCACCAAAAAGAAACCTTATGTGCGGTTGAGGAGGTAGCTAAAGAGGACCACAGAGGACAGAATGAAATGGAGATGTGTTAATGAAGCCCTATGTTCCACTTAGAACTCAAGGGAATACTACTAATAATAATAATAGTCAATTGAATCTGAACTTACTCACCACAACAGGTATTTTTATGTCCCAGGCTAAGAGCCATACAAGTATCATGTGAGGGCTAATGATGCTACCCAGTTGCTCAGGCTGAATTAGGTGGGGTGGGATTCAAGCCCTTAACCCACGGGGATATATATTCCCGTATGTAGAGTATTCGGTTGAAGAGTTCTACCGAAATTTGATGAATTCATTAAATTCTGCTTTATTAACCTTTGTTGCTTGTTTTAAAAGTTGATTTCTTAAGCTAACAAGCCACGTCTCTACTAGTATCTTCTGGATGAGTGCAGAGAAGTACAAAACCTAGGTTAAGTAGGAATTCCTATCATATTATCGAGCATTTCAATGCACATCAATGTTGTATCACTTAGATCAATAACCACATTTACTATTTGGTCGATGGAAGTAGATCAACGTGTACATCTCTAACCCGACTACCATTCAACAACCAATTAAGTGTATACTGTAAAATAGCAGCAGCAAAATGGACATCTCTATCTTCAAAACAATTATCTTTGGAAGTGTTCAGTACAGTTATGCATCTGTTCACAACCAAGAGAAATTATACATGAATGGTAAATGTGTTATCACCTCAGAGACCACTGAGAAACAATAACATATAAAAAGGTTAACAAGAAATGAGGATGGAGGTAAAATACTCGAAAGCTATGTGAATAAGTCCCCCCTACTTATTTTTGCTTTTATTGAAAGACGACACATAGACTGACTGGCTTCCCGAAAGCTTTCACCAACCCACGTCATTTCGTCTACTCAGTTCCAGCAAAGAATAAGTTTTTTTAAATATTTTTCTGTGCTTTAAAGTTTCTGTAGTGACTGGATTGATTTTCTGGGGTAGGGTCACCCAACCTTCCCCTCTTTTCCTGGGCTTAGAACCCACTAGTAAACTAGTGAACTAATAATCTGAATGATTCAGACAAGAATGGACAATAGAAAAATAGAAAAATCGTCCTTACTGTTGCACTTTACACGTTCTAGTGTACAAGACAATCAGCTCTAAGCGATGATTCATTTTATCACCCTAAAAACTTGCTCTTACTCCTATGTTGACATTGTACAGCAGCCTATAACGAAACTTTGTAAGTTGAACCCAAAAACTATATTCTCAAGTAGCCACCTCATAGACCCTGTAAAAGTTGACGTACTAAGCTGTGAGTTAAACTTTACTATGCAAAGACTGAAATAGGACGCGATTACACCAAACTTATGAATAGACGTCAAATGACTCAACTAATGAATAACACTTCAATTTTCGGGAATGTTTAAGGCTTTATATAATATCTGCTATCTAGCAATATTCCTAAAGAAACACATTGATAAATGATAACCTTTATACACACAATCTCTTCTACATTAAACGATCGATTACCACAACAGTCATACAGAAAAACACTAACCTTAATCAGAGCAACTAACTTACAAAAAACAAGTAATCAAGGTGAGTGAAAGTAAAAGATTGATACATTGACAGATTAATGAACAAGTGTGATGTTGCTCATGTTTCACGTACAACAAAATTGACATAAATCCTATACAAGATTGTGAATACACATGATAAGAAAGTCTCACTTAAGATGAAAGCACTGTGAATTGACTCTTGGTTCATACATTTTTGAATTTAATTATACTTAACAGATATATTTCATATATCAGAATATGTCGTTCACACTTATTGTTTGAAGACAAGACTGACAATACTGTCACCTAGTTGTCTAGACTGAAGAAAGTGGAGTGGGTTTCGGACCTGGGACCCCTCCCACCCACACTGGCTGACAGTGGAATGATTAGGCTAATAAACTATATCTCCATAGTTTCCTAGATGACATCAGTTCATGAATGTAACTACTATTAGAATAAAATATAATAATAATAACTATTAATAATAAATGAGCAAAGAAATCTAACCTTTGGACGATAGAACACATTTTGAACAGATAACATTGAGACAACAGTCAATACTTCTTCTGAACACTGTAGATGAACTGACATGATCAACATTTTTGAAAGCATAGGTTCAAGAGGAAATTCAGCCATCTAGATTATCAAAAATATATATATATAAACAGGAGATAAGTAGTAATGTAAACGGGGAAAAGAAACTCAAAAAAATAAATAAATAAATTCCAATTACATAAGATGAATAAACAAATCAGTTGATTTAGTCGTCAGAAATTTGTAGATGTAAACTTGATTTTCAAATATCGCATACAAAACATGAAGTGTACTTCATCGACTTCTAGTCAGTAAGAATGTTAGTGGGATTTTTAAAATAATGAAGAAAATTAATCTGATGCTCACTAGCGACTGGCCCTATTCAGGCAGTTAACCTGGGGTTCTAGTGGGAAGCCGTGACCAGTAGGATACAGCAGGTCGAAGATGAGGCAGTAACTCATCGAAGAAGACATTGTGAAATGGTCGCGCTATGTCGTGAATTGGCAGAAGTTAGAATTCAAGGACTGGCCATTGGACCGGGTCCCAGTGGCTCAATGGTCTACGAGCTCGCCTAGTAACCAGAAGGTCCTGGGTTCGAACCCCGCAGTGTGGGTGCGTACTGATGAAGAGTCCCAAACTAGGACGAAACAGCTGTCCAGTACTCCCAGCTGGTTTTCCAGTGGTTCTCCAACTGATGTCAGCTCATGGTGAAATCCTCCATGCAATCAAAATTATTTTTACTCAAGACAGAGTCCGTACAATCGTATTCATACACCTCTTAACACACATAACAGTCTATTATTGAATAATAATAATAATAATAAAATAATAATAATAGAAGGGAATTACATCATCAACAACACAGTCACGCAGAAATGGATTCTAGAGAGTGGAAAAAATTTACTGTGATAGTTATTCATTCGTATTTGTGACTAGTTAAATGATAGAATACTGGCAAATTGGAATAATCTTCCTACCAAAAACAGATTGAATGTGACAAATTCGTAACCAGCCGTATTGTTTGTCTTGTTTACTTGGAATAATAAACATAAACGCATAACAATGAACATCTAAGTTGTACAGTCATTTATTCAACTAGACATAAACGTAATAGAATGTAGTTAAAGAAGGCGATTTAAAAGGAATGAAGGTAAGAGAGAGATGTGAAATTTGACGAGATTATTTATTAGATGCATTGTAACTCAGTCGACAGGTGTAAAGAATGGTGAGGGAGAAGATAGCAACATATAAAAGAAACATACTCATGGGTACCAACAATACACTGATTACTAAGAATACAGTCCAACAAGAACGTATTTAAGACTAAGACTACGATGAAATTAAACACTGCAGAAGCAGACTGAGCTCAAGTTAATAAATTGCTACCACTTCGACCACGGTCCCGTTTTCCTAATGTAACTCCTTTTCTACTACTCAGTCTCGCCTTGTAGATTATTTTAGAGTTGTATAACTCAAAGTTTCCTAGACGCAATGTCACATTAAACTAAGCACACCTTCAATTTAATCCCACTTTGGGGTACACCGATCATCTGAGAAGGCGAACAACTAAAACTGCTAGCAGATGTTTTAATTATCTAACTTCATGAAAATCGACAATATCATTCATCATCCGATGACTCGCTTTTCTTCTGTGGCACATTACACCCATCACTTATTCCGTAGTTCAGTTGTATGACAACAGAAGACTCATTACATATATGAAGACAACTCTGGTCGCAAACCTAAAACAATGCATTAAAATTCCAATTCTCTGCCTCTGCTTTATTTTCATATTCATATTAATCAATTCTACAAGTAATAGAAAAGGTAGGCAGGAGAATCACCTCAATCACGACATTAGTCTATAACGAGAACACAATTTGTAGTTAAAATAGTTAGTTAGGTAGGTATAACGACGAAACGGTGAATATAATATAATACATAACACAACTAGAAAAAATACAAACACAAATAGGGTTAACAGAAGAAGAAAAAAGAAGAAAAGAAAAGAATTCCATTTCAATAAACTAGTTTCCATAAATACGAGTAAACAAACAAACAAACAAACACACAAATAAATAAATAAATAAGGTAAAGAAAAAGGGAAGGAGGAATGGCTGGTGAAAACTCTTAAGAACACAGAGAGAGAGGAAAAGAGGAGGATAGATGGATGGATGGGGAATTTGGAGAGCAGAAATTCACCAATTTTCTCCTTTCACTACAAATAAAATATCCGTCTGAAAGTAAGGCTAAGAACAGTTAGCATTCAAGTAATAAAAAAAATCAACTTTCTAAGAATACAACAAATGTTTCCTTCAACTTTCTCTCTCTTACTCTCACAATTTCTCTTATTGACAGACATGCAAACAGAAAAACGAGCAAGTGATCAGTCGAGTGAGTGAGAGAGAGCCAGGGAGGGGAAATAGTCATTAACTAGACCAATGTGATAAGTAGATAGATGGTAAAGAAAGTAAAACAAAAAAATAAATAAGGGAGGAAACAATAAGATTAATTATAATTAACATCATCATCATCAGAATAGTAATAACAACAAACGGATAACTCATCTCAACAACAACAACAGCAACACAAAAAGGAGTTCACACACACAAAAAAAAGAGTTCCAGTGAACTAAATATTAGATAAGCTAAAATTAAAAAAAAAAACTAGATATGTTTAGAGTGTGTATAAAAAAGGGATTTCTTTGCTGTACTTTGAAGTTTCTATAGCGATTGGATTGATTTTCCCGAGGATAGGATAGGGGGTAACTAGCCCCACACGCTCAACTCTCCATTTTTTCCCTGAAATTAGCACCAATTAATAAACCCCAGTGAACTAGTACACTCTGAAATCAGAAAATATGGAACAAAATTTGGATTTTTAACACCAATGGTTGAGTTAGTTCTTCTCTACGGATCAGAGACTTGACGTGTATGCTGCAGCAGACTTTTATCAGACTTTCATACCTTCGCTGGCTACGTACTGAAGATCAGATGGCCTGAAATCATTAGCAACAAGCAACTTTGGCGGCGGACTAACTAAGAACCTATTGCCCAACAAGTATGTATACCGAAGGAAATGGAAATGGATCGCACACATGCTAAGGAGACCGCTGGGTGGCACCGTCCTAGACCCTTGAGTGGAGTGTGAACGTGAAACAATGAGCTGTGAAGGGGATGAGAACTTATGGGCAGTCGTGGGGTCAGCTAGAAAAGGATGCAGAGGAAAGGATAAAAAATGAAGATGAGTTGTTGAAGTCCTATGTTTCGCTGAGAACCCAAAGTAATAATAATAAGAATACTATAAAAAAAAGAATACTTGATCGATGGGAACATTTAGAACACACACTTGGATGTGTGTTTATAGATTCACTTGTTCCTGTGGAACTTATTTACACTGGTCACACAAAGTGCACACCTTCCAAACGCATATCTGAACATTATCCGACATGGTTATCAAGAGGACAATGCAAGACGATTACTAGCTCGATTCTTGAGCATCTAGTCAACTCAGGCCACTCAGATTCACTATAGAGTTGTCTTTTCAAATTATCTACGAGATAAGACAGAACGGTACAAAGGGTGTTAGGTTTCCACACTAGTGTACTGCGGAGGTGTTAGCTATTCATCCATATATCACTCTGAACTCTGTGTGCAGGAAAGGTTTGTTCAATCTAATCAATAAGATATGAATTCACTAGTATCACCCTTACATATTCCTTTTGTACATGCCACTAGCATTTCGTTTTTTATCACCTCCTACACACTTGTCAAGTGGACACTCAGATAAATTACTTCTCATATAATAACAATTTCCACCTTATCAAATTTCAAACACCTACTTCCATTGTGTCGTTGACAATTACATAATTATCAGTTGCACATATTACATGAAGTATATAGATACTACTTATATAACCAGTGAGTAGATACAACGAATTTGAAATTGATGATCTACCAGCTGACTGATGAACTAAGTGGATTTCTTCGTCTCATTTGAATCAGGTGAAATAAAAAACAGTAGAAAACAGAGGAAGTTCGAGAAAAATGATTAACAATAAGAACGCATAATGAAAAGAATACAATTCATTAAAATGTGACTTTATAAAGTGAAGAATAAAAAGGCATAAAGAATTCCAATTAATACTTACTCTTCTTCCAAGACGTGTCAACAAGCCTTCATCATCCAGAGCAGATAAACCATGTAAAGTCTCCATGGCAGCAACAAGTGTCTATAATAAAAAAATAAGGGAATGCATGAAATAATATGTAAGTACGGCGGTAATAACACCTTGATTGAGACAGACACTGACAGACAGTGGGCAGTGTAGAAGATAGCAGCACAACGAGACAGTTCAATACGTTACATTTACTATCAACCACAGAAAAAGGTGATCAATTATGGCATGAAAATAATGAAATCAACTACGACAAAACGAAACAAATACAGATGAAAGTCAGGGACAATAAATAGTGAACACATTTGAGTTAGCGTGACTCTGATCTTATACACTGAGCCAGACAGGTTAGTTAGCTAGTTAGCTACGACACTTACCCGGTACGGGGCTATCAACCACACTAATCGTGTAGGATTGATGATATCAATCAACCACCCAGGCTCAAGCACGCGGAGCGACATTCGAACCTAGAAGGCACTGGCTGGAAGTTGAATGCTGAAGGCAATGATTAACATCTTTAGGCGAGTACTTCAAACTTGCTTACAAAGACCACATCTAAGAAATAGACTTTATTTATGCGAATATTTTTTTATAAGTTCATTGCAAAGCAGCATCAAGAAAGATCTAGAATGTTCGCCAACGTATAACAGCTTCCTAAGATTATTAAACCTCACAATATCACGATATACTCTGTCTACCGCCTCCTTCTAAAAGCATACATCTGAATGAGGTCATATATTCCTAGTAATCAAGGTGTAGGTGAATATAAAAACATACCCATTTATTTATGAATAAGGAAAAATAAAGATTTATTCAGAGAAGAAATATTTCATCTTAACAACTTCAATTTTTCGCGCCACTGTATATCTGTGCAGCTTGAAAATGCAGACGTTCAAAGTAAATGTTTCTTCGCTGAACAAATCTTTGTTTTTCTATAGAAAAATACGGCCAAATATTGCAGAAAACGTTATGAATCTATGTTAGTATGAAAGAATTTAATTAGCAGGCACCATCTTTAATAAACACTGATTCGCAGCCCATTTTCAAGCGCACACTTTCATATTTCCGTAGCTCACTGAAACGGCAGCATTAGTATTGAATGACGGCAGAGAACACGGGACAACTTCTTAAGGCCGGTCACACGGACTGTTTGAAGAGGCTTTTAAGGATGTGTCCGTGGTAAGATCTTACCGCTAGCTATGCATCACCACAAGGTAAGTCGGAATGTACGGTTCCTGAGGTCGACCTTTTCTTATCCTCCTTCTCAGAGCTGAGAGGCATCATAGATGGCTTGCTGGTTTTCTGAGGGGAACACCTTACTGCTGCTACATCCCTATTCCCTAGAAAAACGATTTCGCTCACAGACTCCAAACAAAGTGTGAACAACACGTTAATATTTGGTTGAAGAAATGGAAATACGTTTGCAAAACTGTGAGAAATCAAGAACAATAAAAATTTTAAATGAAGTAAACTTGAATCTAACTCAACTAACCTGTAATGGAGGTGGATCCATGAAGTCAAATGATAGTAAGTCATTTATACCCATAGCTTTTAACTGCAAGACAGTACTGGCTAAATTTGTTCTCTGTATTTCTGGGACATTTGTAGCTAACATTTCATCTCTGTACGCTCGTTCTGTATATAAACGATAACATTTACCAGGGCCTGTTCGACCTGCACGTCCAGCACGTTGTTTAGCTTGAGCCTGAAAAAGAAAAACGGCATATTTTACGTATGTATTCTGAACTACTTATTTAAAAACCAGTAGTGTAAAAATAAAGCGCGAAAATTAGAAAAGTAAAATAGACAATGCAAATCGACTGTATTTAGTATATGATGAAACTAAAGCAGTCATCTGCAGTCCTTATGAGATAAAAAAGGCCAACGTTGAGGGGTACTTATATTCATACGAAGATAGCAGCAGAAAATTTATTAAGCCTCACAAGCCATCCGACGGTAACATTAAGCAGTAAAATTTAGGTAACTAGATAACCTAAACATCATTTCATAGACAACTTAATCAAACACACTTTCTTCTCTCAATAAAATTTCGTGGCCTCACCATATACACCTCTTTTTAACCAACACAATAACTATCAGTTGCCTAAGGATTTCAGTACTGCCCCATTCTACGAAGCAGTTTTTGATGGAGAAAAATTACAACAGAATTCTATATTAGCCTACAAGTTGAAAAGTTGAGATTACTAATACGAAGTAGGTAGTGAAGTCGTAATCAGGGAGAAGTTTCAAAGCGTCACTGTATATTCTTCTATTGTAATGAAATTACCACTCATCGCCGATATTAAGAAAATGTAATGCACGATATATATACAGTTGTTGTTTGAATTTAAACACCCGAAATAGATCTTTCATGTACCAGGCTAAGATCCACACTTATATAGTGTAAGGGTTGATGATACCTACTGGTTGGCTAGACTGAGATTCGAGCCTGTGACCTATTAGGAGAAAGTAGAGTGTTCAAGTCAAAAAGTATTGTGTGTATTACTGTTTGGGGAACATTATGAAAAAATCTAATCACGCCGGTAATTTTCCAAAACATGAATAAAACTCATCCTTCGTTTGCAATCAAATCGCATTATAAATTTATAAAGGGGAATAAAGTGCATGAAAATACAAACTACTTGAGACTACTACTACAGTGCTGGTGAAAATATACTGACAGGAAATGATCCAGAAGTAGACTTATTTACACAAAGAAAGTTCCATGTGATCCTAGTTCAGAACTTTTACTGCATACATTAATCCTAATCTAACCATAAAATGAAGCATTATGAATGGGTCCTCGAAATTTCGGACAAAAAGGGTTACCAATAAGGCCCAGTAAGTCTGCGAAATCAATTATTGCAAACTTCCTCCCTTCACCGTGAAGCTCCGTAATTAGACTAACAAATTATCAAATCTCAGTCAAAGCCTTATGCGCTACAACTTGAGAATCATCCTTTATGTGAAGACCACCCAACTTATGAGATTGAAATTCTGAAATGATTAATCGCGTTTTTGGTGGAGCATAGGGCCCCAAGTGTTAAAGCTTCAGTAGCGACTTTTTTCATTTTTATGAGTTGGGGTTGCTAGCCTCACGACCAACCTTCTTTCTTTACAGAACTTACTACCAGACAGTACAAATAGGCCGGGAATCGACCCCGCAACACATGCGTGGTTGGAGTTTAGACAAAGTGAATAAGATTAATTACAGAATTAACACAAGAAATGTCATGTACAAACAAGCTTATGATGATAGCTGAAACTAACCTGTGAGATCGGAGTGACAATCAACTGATCCATTCCTGATTTACTACTGTACACTTTTTGTTTTACAAATCCTGGATCTATAACATAATAAATTCCATCAATTGTCAGAGATGTCTCAGCGATATTCGTAGCAATCACCACTTTACGTGATCCTGGTGGAGCAGGATCAAAAATTCTTGACTGCATTTCAGACGGTAGAGCAGCATACACTGGTAAAATAATTAATTCTGGCACTTCTGAACCTAAAGCTTTCATACGTTCATAGAGAAGTTCACAACCAGAATCGATTTCTTCTTGACCAGTCAAGAACACCAATATATCTCCTAAACAAAATTGTCAAAAACAGAAATAAAGTGAAAGTGACATAACGGAAAAAGAAGGCTGTGTAGTGTGTTCTCTGAGCTGGTTGGTTTAGTTGTGGAGCTTTCGTCGTCCTTCTGGGCAACATCTTCAGCGCAAAATGATCAATACATATGTAAAGATGGTTACCGGGAGACGCAATTATATCACTCATGAAAAATTTAAATCATTTCACTTTATGCTAAATATTGCGCTGAAAGGAGATGTTGTCCAGAAGGACGACGAAAGCTCCGCAACTAAACCAACCAGCTCAGAGAACACTATTAATTGCAAATCATCCACCTGAGCTACAAATCTTCTCTATTATTTCAAAAGGCTGTGTAACTAATTGTACATTTATGTGTATTATTATGATTCATTCGTTGAATCCCAAGTGGATCATCATCGGGTTTCAGTACCACATCTTTACTAAAGTCTGTTTTCTGCTGTTACCTTCAGCTCAGTCCACTGCTGCCCATTAACTTTCAGTTTCTTTCCTGCCACGCTCGGATGTCAAACTCGTTGATTCACATTCGGTTTCCACACGAGGTGTACTTGACAGAAACTTTATATAGTCTGAAGTATTACCTTAGTACTGCTAAAAATTCAGACTTATATAAAGAAAACCTTTAATGCCAATGTCTGTCGTGATTCACATGAATCAAAATTAGCGGAACTCGAAAGTAAAACAAAGAATTACTACAGTTTAAACCCAAAATACAATAACGATAATCTGTGAAGATTAAATATTCACTGCAGAAGTATTGATAGGTTACATAACATATGAAGGTGTTCTCTTTAGAAAGATTAAGACAACAAAGATTCAACAAATACATCTACAAATCTTTAGTATTTTGTGTAATTATTTTGTCTGCATATCCTCCTTTTTCCTAACTTTCAACACACTTTGTATTAATGAGCTGTGAAGACTGAAGATGCAAGCTGTTAAAATATTTTCCAGGGAAACAAGTGAAAGTCAAAAATTCTTCAAGAACAGATATTAGGGAAAGGGGAAAACAAAATAACACCCCATTACATATTTGAGAACATATTTCAAGGAGCTTCAAGTATAAGTCTACAAAAGTCGGATGGCATATCGTAAAATCAGAAGCAGTCGACGATAAACTCAGAGTTGGATCAACTCGAATTCACGGAATTCCACAAGTCTATTTCTCATTCAACGACTGAAACTAAACTTATACATTCTGAGAGAAGTAAACAAGTCATTGTGAGTTGGTCACAGTGTATACGGACAGTACACAGAAACACTTAGAAATTGCATTTCAGTTTATTTTATTCATATGCATAGCCTTAACTTCACTTTATGAGGGGGGAAAATGTCTTTATCAGCCTTTCCAGTTGCTGGAATGTCTATAGATCCATTGCATAGATGACAACCTTTTAGCAACCACTTATTAACCGCCTTCAAACGGTTCAATTTCAATATTCCAACATACTTTTAATCTCACAGGTTAAAAATGTTGAAGTATGGAAAGCTTTCTTAGATTAATTTTCAAGTATTGGCTTTGTAGGGAATTTTGTTTGATTGGTTGGAGGATTCCATCATGAGCTGACATCAGTTAGAGAACCATTGGAAAACCTGGGAGTACTGGACAGCTGTTTCGTCCTAGTTTGGGACTCTTCATCAGTACGCACCCACACTGCGGGGTTCGAACCCAGGACCTTCTGGTTACAAGGCGAGCTCGTAGACCATTAAGCCACTGGGACCAGACCCAATGGCCAGTCCATGAATTCTAACTTCTGCCAATTCATGACATAGCGCGACCACTTCGCAATGTCTTCTTCGATGAGTTACTGCCTCACCTTCAACCTGCTGTTAACTGTGGTAGAGTGTAATTCCATTATGGGTAAATTTTATTTTGATAGAGTCTCACAGTGTTATACAGTAATATTTACAGTAAATATTACTGTATAACACTGTGAGACTCTATCAAAATAAAATTTACCCATAATGGAATTGCCTACTGGTCACGGCTTCCCACTAGAACCCCAGGTCACTGCCTGAATAGGGCCAGTCGCTAGTGAGCATCAGATCAATTTTCAAGTATTGGTTTTGTAGGAAATTTTGTTTGATTGGTTGGAGGAATTCTTAGATATATATTTGAAAATTTCAGGTTAAAAGCATCTGATGAAAATCTACGAAACAAATATATCAGTGTATTCTCCTCAAGCAGTTATAATCATTTTACTTAAATCTATGAAAATGGAAGAAACATTAAAAAGCATCCCCACTTTCTTACTCCATGTCTTAAGCAACGATAAACAACTAGCAAAACTAAACCTGTTAATAAATAACGAAAATAATACGTCACTGATATTCTCAGTGAAATAAATCATATTACTAATTATCCTACGAGTAGTTCACGAAAGTTACACGAAAAATTAAGACCTGATTCACCAATTGATTAGGAGTATAAAAGTAGAGATACAATACTTTTTAGGATTTAACGTTTCCCACAGTAAATGACGATGAGTAACTTTCCCAAGAAAGAAAAACGGTAAGTTTCATTCCATGATGCCCTGAAGAAGTACTTAAGATCCACTTTTTCTCTTATGATTATAACTAAAGAATCATGAATTACTTTAAATGTCGGTGTTATTCAATAAGTCACTGAATCACCAACGCCAGTCATTGTGAGATACTAGACAGGCAGAAGTGGAGAAACAACCTACCATTAAAAATCTTTGTTAAATATAATTGATATGAATATATATAAAGAGAGAGAGAGGGCTACTACTTGTTATTTACACAACTTACCTGGAGGTTCAGTCAAGTGGATTTGCATAACAGTGTTCAGTGCAGCGTCCAAGTAGTCATTCTCTGGCTCTAAACTATAAAGAATTTCTACAGGATAAGTACGACCAGGAATAGTGAATATAGGCTGTAAAGTAGGAAGAATAAAAATAAAGAAATCCATAAGATGTATTGAAAAAAAATTAATTTGAAAATTTTCTTTTGAAAACTTTGACTAATGTTTATGAAGCTGAATATAAGACCAAATTGAGAATAACAATGGTAGCTTCACCTGTTAACAATTCAGTTTAGGGAGCGAGATGGACTCAATGTGAGCAGCGAATATTCGTTTTCAAATAAAACTACAATCTTACAAATCTATGATGTTTTTGATGTAGTTGTGTTCTCTGAGCTGGATAGTTTATTTGCGAAGCCTTCACTGCCCTACTAGGCAACATCTTCAGCTCAAAGAACACAACTACATCAAAATCATTCACCTGAGCCACAAATCTCCTCCATCATATCTAAATCTATGATGCCTAGTCATCTAAATCAGAGGAGAATTAGGTTAATATATAATGCTATTAGATGGTTGGAAGCGATCGGCAAGAAAAGCCTTGGACCTAGGTTTCGTCCTAGTTGGCACTCATCAGCAAGGTGTATCTACAATCTTGAAAGAAATCATATCACCTATGACATTCCAGACCTACTGAGTGACTCCAACTACCTAATAAAAACAAGTGAGAGTTCATAGTGGTAGTGATCTATCCTATTATGGTGGCCATGTTGCAAACTTCACTGTGATAGAATTGTCTGCACCAAGCAAAGAAATAGACATATGACGCTAGTTATTCACCACTTAGTGATCAATCAAAGTAATATATAGTGCTATATATGGACTTTTAAAGTGTAGTGTAGATGGTCGTTGTTTATAAAAATCCATGGACTACCAAGAAAAAACACAATTACCAACAAGAATCGAAGAAGTAATACACTTAGAATGAGTATACATTCACTCAAAATACTTCTAAATACGGATGATGGAGAAGATATATTTATATATGTCTTCAAAAAAGCCATTATTATTATTATTATTATTATTATTATTATTATTATTATTGTATCCTTTAATTCCTAGAGGAACATAGGGCTTCAGCCGTGCGTCTCCATTGCGTTCGGTTCTCTGCTAGAGTCTTCACCTGGCTCCAAGTCTGCCCACACCTTTTCATCTCTTTCACATGACCTCTTCCAAGTCACCCTTGCACTGACGACCAACTCGCCGCTTCCCTTTCGGCTTCCACTCGAGGACTTGTCTAGTGATTTCACTTGATGGTTTCCTCAGAGTATGGCCAATCCATCTCCATTTCTTCCTGCCTATTTGTTTCACAATCGGTTCCTGCTGAGTTGGTTCGCTCCCAGAGATCTCTGTTGCTTATCAACTCTGGTCATCTGATCTTGAGTGGTATTGAGCGAAGACAACTGTTAATGAAGGTCTGTAGTTTGTTTGAGATGCTCTTTATGACGCGCAGTGCAAGTCTCTTATCCATATATTAGCAGTGACTGACTTCACATTGGAGTTGAAAATCCGGATCTTATTTTTGACGCTGAGTGTTGTTGACCTCCACACAGACTTGAGAGTAGTGAAAGCTTGTCTCGTTTTTCCGATTCTTGCTTTGATATCCTCGTCAGTTTTGTCGGCCTGTAGTTGAAACGATGCTCCCCAGGTAGGTAAAAGAGGTTGTTTCTTTCAGGTTCCTCCCATTTATGCTGATTGCTGTCTGTTGTTGTTGTTCCTGTTGGTGGTGTTGGCCAGGAATCTTCATCACCTCTGTTTTATCTATGTTCACCTGAAGTCTTATCTTCTCTGGATGCCTCTTCTGCCAACTTGTTGCTTTTCGCTTGCATATCTTCCAGTTTGTGGGAAATCAGACATATATCATCGGCGAAGTCCAGATCCTACAAGATTTTTGTGTGAGTCCATTTTATGCCTGTTTCCTCATTGCCCACTGTTTGTCGCATTATCCAATCTACTGCAATCAGGAAAATCATTGGCGATAGTAGGCAACCAGCTTGTCTTACTCCTGTCCTCACTCCGAAGGATTCCGTAAGTTTCCCATTGTGGATTACTTGGCATGCATCATTGTCGTACAGCTGTTGGATGAGATGTATAATTGTCGGTGGCACCCCGTAGTAGCGAAGCAGTTGCCAAATCACCTCTCGGTCGACGCTGTCAAAGGCCTGTTCAAAGTCGATGAAGTTGAGGTAGAGAGGTGACTGCCATTCCAAGCTTCGTTCAATGATGATCCGTAACGTGGCGATCTGATCAATGCATGACTTGTTTCTCCTGAATCCAGCCTGTTCCGGTCGAAGTTTTTCATCCAGGGCATGTTTGATTCTCTCCAGGATGATGCGGCTTAGTATTTTGCTTGGGATGGACAGGAGCATATACTTTTTCATTTTGACAACTCTAACTGTCATAATAGTGAGACATACACTGATCAAAGAAAACTCCCTAATTAAAAACAGCAAATTTAATGTGAAAATAAAAAAATGCACTTACAGCTTCAAAAAAGTACTGAGAAAATTTGACAGAGTCAAGTGTAGCAGAGGTTACAATCAACTTCATATCATCACGTTTTTGAATTGCTTTCTTTAATAAACCAAATAATACATCTGTATGAATTGTTCTTTCATGAGCTTCATCTAACATAATCACTGAGTATTGGCGTAAATCCGGATCAATAAGACATTCACGTAAAAGCATACCGTCTGTCATGTATTTGATTTTAGTCTCCGGTGCAGTACAATCTTCAAAACGAATTGTATAACCAACTTCTTGACCTAAACGACAACCAAATTCTTCGGATACCTATTTTATTTAAAAAAGGGAGGTTGGGGAGGAAATTAAGATTTTCTGTGCAATAGGTAACTGTTTAACATACATTTCTGGTATAAGGTTGAAATGAAATAAAAAAAACAGGTGTTTAACGCTGAAGTATGTAGTAGTTGGATTATCACTATAATTTTTATTATTATTCGTCCCTTGCGTATCGAGTGAAATATTGGACTTCAGTGGCACATGACCACTTCACTTTGTTTTCTGCCGTCATTTTCAGCTGGTTCCAGAGCTGCCCGTAAGCTTTTATTCCCTACTGATTAAATGATCTCCTACATGTTAACCTCAGACGCTCAACCCATCACTTTCTATTTGGATTTCACTTGAGGAGGGTCCGGTACGTGAATATCACATGAAGGTCACCTAAGACTATCTCTAACCCATCTCCATTTCCTTCTCCTTATTTGTGGGGCAGTACCATAGTGGCTGTAGTAGACTGATATGTACAACCAAATAGAAAATTCATAAATACATGAAGAACAACTTTTTTTAATACTTCTCAGATAGTATGCCAATAAATCATCACCGGTGCTCATACACTTATAATAGTCAAATAGAATTTAGGCATTAACACAAGAGGGTTGTGAATTATGCAGACTAGGCGTAAGGTTTATCCAAACACACTGGGTGTTGTTGAAGTTTCAATATGTAAATAGACAGTGATTTTAATGTTAATCACAGTGTATTCCTCAGTTAGACCTTTAAGCAAGGCATAATACTGTTGAGAATATATTTAAGCCCCACTAAATGAAACCAACTGCTCGAATTCCCTGAATGAATTTCTTTTCGTAGAGCTTTTATTTTCTTCTGCACATTGCATATTTCTACAGCATTGTAGATAACGCTATCGTTTTTCATGATTTCATCAACCAAAGCATTGAACTGATTATAAGCACTTAAGCCAATGTAATTCAATAATAGTTGAATGCTGAATAAGCAAGAAAATCTAATAATTTCACAGTTTCTAGTAGAAAAAATCCCAAACTAAATAGAACAGCAGATACTAGATCAACAGCTTGTTAGCTTAAAGCGGCAGTCAAGCTTGCACATCTCAATATTGGCTGGATTGAATATCCCTGCAAATGCTAACACACCGGAAAGGATTGTTGGAGTATACAGATACTGACCTTGTGGACAAAGAACATAGACAAAATGCAGTCTTTTAAACACACCTTGAGGAGAAACCAGTTTATGCTTGGCATGCGGTTCACCCACTCCCCTTAAGTGTAGTATGACGCTGCGGGACTAGTCCAAACTACTTCCTAGAACAAAACATATGGGGTGACATAGTTTGATAGGTTGACCACTTTGGTCATCTAAGAATTTAAATCAGCCCTAGTGGATTGATCGCTGATGAAATCTCAGCAAGAATACAAAAGACTGATTTGAATCATTCCTCGTGTAAATGTGATATCTGGCTTTCCTTGTAAGGAATTGTGCACTGTGCAACATTTCTGAAAATCTTAATTTATAACCATGACACACTGTTAATTAAAGTGAAAGACATGAAAAAATTAGCAGATTTCGAACATAGGTGTTATCACTCAACCCAATATATGCTAGGTGAAGCATTACGTTCAATAAAAACGGGTTTAAAGTGCAAAATGCCAGTTAATAATGGTGAAGTTATTTGATGAGTTTGTAGAACTACATCTATTGAGGTAGCTGAAGCATGTGTTACGCGTGCCAAGCTATTGTCTTCCCAGACGAACAATGTTAGCTGACTTAGTGAGTAGGTTGGTAGCGTCAGACCAAAACACACAATGTGTTTGATTTGAGCCACGTAGATGTAGACTGCCTAAATGGGGTCATTGAGACTGTTGATAATATGGTTCGAAATCGACCCCATTTACTCTGCAATCTTTCAGATCTATTCGGTCACCATTATATCTCATATTATTCTTATATTATTATTATTCTCTTGGGTTCCGAGTGGAACATGGGGCTTCAACAACACATCTCCACTTTCCCCTATTTTCTGTCGCCCTCTTCAGCTGGGTCCACGATTGCCCATAATCTCTCATCTTCTCTTCACCACAATATCTCGACCATGTCACCCTAGGACGATCCACTCTTCGTTTCTCATTTGGATGCTACTCGAGGGCCTGGCGCGCGATGTCATTCGACGGTCTCCTCAATGTATGCCCAACCCATCTCCATTTTCTCCTACACATCTGTTGAGTGATCAATTCTTGGGTAGTCTGTTGCCAGAGTTTCTTGTTAATAATTCTTTCTGGTCATATACTTACTATTCTCCTACCTTTGTATGCCATGTGCAGTGTAGAGATTTGAACTGGCACAGTTTTATGCAACAAAGTTCTACTTTCATAAGTCAGTTTATGTAAGCAAACAGAATTAGTGAGTTAGTCCCATTTATTATCACATCATCTTATAGCACTAAACAAAATGAAAGTTTAAAAAGGCACAAAACACACTAAATGAAACAACAAGAACAACTAAAAACGATATCACTAGATGACAGGTAGACAGAAAGAGAGAGAGAGAGTAAACTTACGCGTTTAGCTACAGACATCGCAGCTACTCGACGTGGTTGAGTACATCCAATACGTCCTGTATTCACATAACCTGCTTCAGCTAAATACTGTGTAATCTGTGTTGTTTTCCCACTGCCAGTCTCTCCGATAACAATCAACACTTTATTATCATTGACTGCCTATATTTCAAAAGAAAATATACAGTGAAAGAAACGTTTATGAAACAGAGAGTAGAGAGAGATAGAAACAGAAACTAGACTAATGATGTATAAATGTGCTATGCATATGCATAGTGATAAAAAGAAATGATAAACAAAAACAGATCAATAATAAGATCACCTATTTTTATGTGATTTCTACCCTACATCATTATTGCTCTAATTCTTTTTGATCAATTATAGTCTCTTCGGCATGTTAGTAGATACTGATAAATTTTTTATTATTATTATTAACTATCTTATAATCATACTAGATTGTTAAATGATGTTCCATAATCGTTTTAGGTTAATTTTGCACTGTCAGTGATCATTAGATCGAAATGCTTAGTCTCTATTGACAAATCAGCTCCTTGTAAGGATGCATAGATGATGGTGGTGACTCATAGTGGAGTGTCCAGGATGCGCATTTCACCCTTACTTGAGAATCGTCAGATGGAGGTACCTGAGCACTACCAGTGAGTGATGATGTTCCACCACTGGGACTCGCTAGGACCCTGCCCCATTGCTTCAACCGCCAAATAGGACGAAATGCGCATCCTAGATTCCACTACCAGTCACCACCAACCGAAATGTTCCATAATGACCTGGAATCGTTGACTGACAAAGACCTCTACGAAATGAGTAACTATTTCTTGACTCAATTTTTTCTGCGGTTTCTTAAAAAGAGTAATTATAAAACAAAAGATTATTTTCATTATGCAGAAATTCAACTCGATCATCACATTATTATTAAAGTTATTGCTGATTATGTTTCCAAACTTGATGACGAAACGTCCAAGACAATTAAATATCAAAAACTGCAGAATACCAAGACAATTTCTAGCATCATCCTGAGCTACACAACTTTTCTTTTTTTATTGGAAAGTAATTTTCATTAAGTATTCATACTAATAAGAAAAATTGTCAAGAGACAGTAAGAGGTGTTGAATACAAGTGGCATATAAATTCACGAAAAACCCTATTTGGCTTATACTGCTACCAATTAGACCAGCCTAAAATAACAGGCGGAGCCAACTGCTCCATGTACGTAGACGCACACTGTAAAATCGAAGTGATGCTACCCTTAACCGTAAGATAAATCACACTGTGGTGATGATATGTCCTGTTCACAAAATATCAACAGCCAGTATCTTTTTTTCCACCTTGAAGCTACCTGAGTAATTCGATAGATAACAGCTAAGTATAGAACTTGTCATCAAGTTAAGACAACGCATCAATAATACCACACTACAACACAACACACAAGTGAAACCAAGCTGAGACGAAAACGTCTGAAGATTTATGAAACGCATTCATAGTAATAAATAAAAACACAATATCCTTTGTTTCATATTTACTCAGGTATAGGTGGAGCTGTGTGGCTCATTAGTTTAATGGCTCAACTTTCAACGGGTGGTTCGTATGTTCGTACCCTACTCCACCTACCGAGGTTTGAGCAGCCAGGTAGCATGACTACCCATCATACTACAATAGGTTTGATCCATTACCAACTGCATAGAATTGCAAATGGTAGCTGAGTTATGTTTCTTTTCTAATGTACTTAAGTATATAAGCTGAATCTTTATGTGCACCGCAAAGAATCGATTTCTACAGGATATAGATAGATAGCGAATCAATGTAGGAGAACAGTTTCAAGCTAGGCTATTGGCTTTTTCCAACTGATAAAAATAAATTTCAATTTCTTATGGTACTTATTTTTTATCCATGAAGAAACCTCTTCAAGTGCTACAAAATCTAAGACGGAGTATAGCAGCCAGCTATAATTATCACAACCAATAGAGGGAGACTGCCAACATGTTAAATTTCATAATCAACTCTGCTAGTTAATAAAAAGTACACTATGAAGTTGAAAGGTAGGTGAAATAATAATAATAGTGTTTCAATCAAAAAGAAACAAAGAAAAATATATAAGTACTACGGACATACTTTCATCAATTCATCTTTTAATTTATATATTGGTAAAGCTTGACGTTGTTCTAAGATAGAACGGACAATCTTTTTACCAACACCTCCTGTTCTTGTACCACCTTGAACAGCACGTTTCCATTCTGGTACATCTTTAAATTGATCATTTGAACGTGAACCTGAGAAGTGTGGTTCATTATCCACTGGTAGAAGAAAAAGAAAATAAAAATGAATGTTAAAATATGCAGCAATACAAATAAGTGGTGAAACCAACCAACCAACACATTACAGCCACCGCATAATATGAGATCATCCAGTTCACTATTTATAGTAGTTGAGCAGTAGATTTATCTAACTGCCGTTGACTACATTAAATAAATGGGTCGATTCATAGATCTGTCTGTTACTTCAAAGAGAACAGATTCCGTTGTAACAACAGAAGACAAGGGCCAGGCAACAGATCAGTTTTATTACGAAAATCAACAGGTATTTATATGTATTTTACGTACATTAATAGGCTTCTGCCCGCAGAAAGAAGGCGGTCTTCTGATTGGTTGTTTGTAAACAAACGCAGTCTTCTGCTTTCTCGTTTTCGATATTTCTCGGAAATGCGAGCCACTTGTCTGCGAATCATATTTGTCCACGTCTAGGTCAGCTGTGATCGGTCGTTGAATCAGCCTAGATTAATTTCTACCAATCAGCGTAGATCAATGTCTACCAATCGGCTAGCAGCTTGCTCTCACCACACTCGTCCCCCCGTCAAATAGCTTGGACTGAATTCGGCTCGGTCTTCTCGGTTCTTGGGGCTTTGCTCTGTTGTCTTGCTGTCTGGAATCCCGGTGCTTGCGGATGTCCACTTGTTTAACGGTGTTTACCATTGCGATTGTGTCTGCGTAACCCCATCTCAACGTGACCATATATGGTCCTTCCCACTTTGGAAACTGTTTGCCTGACCCTGTCGCACATTCGTAGGTATTTCGCCTCACACTTCCATATGCTGCTTTCTCCCGACCTCCCAGCAGCGTCCCAAGTAGCAGCCTCATCGCTGACAGATCTTGAACGCTACTCAACTGCGAAGAAGCCTCGAAGTCCTGCGCGAAGATCCATATGTCTCCATCAAAAACTGCAGGGCATAGGCTTTCCATTTGTCGGTAGGCAGCGACACCAAATGTAACCACAGAAGACAAGGGCCAGGCAACAGATCAGTTTTATTACGAAAATCAACAGGTATTTATATGTATTTTACGTACATTAATAGGCTTCTGCCCGCAGAAAGAAGGCGGTCTTCTGATTGGTTGTTTGTAAACAAACGCAGTCTTCTGCTTTCTCGTTTTCGATATTTCTCGGAAATGCGAGCCACTTGTCTGCGAATCATATTTGTCCACGTCTAGGTCAGCTGCGATCGGTCGTTGAATCAGCCTAGATTAATTTCTACCAATCAGCGTAGATCAATGTCTACCAATCGGCTAGCAGCTTGCTCTCACCACACCGTCATCATTCTCTATTTCGATAAGAACTGAATACAATTAGTTCCCTTTATGAATTTAGATAAAGCAATAAGACGTAATTTGTCTGAATCGTGTAATGTGCATTTGCACAACACATTTCGAACAATCTCATCACACACGGACTTGTCATAGGAATATATATGAAATTAATAAAGAGTTAAGAGGTGAGAAAATAGACCACTTAGGTCAAGTTAAAAGGACATATTGAAGGTCAAAATAACAATGAAGACCACTAAACCAAATAGCAGAGGTAATAGTACATCTGCTATGGTATCAAAACAAAATTTACCAAAGAAAGTTTAATGTGATGACGAATTGTTTTTGAACACATAAAGGTGGCTCAAACTTTCTAATTGCTAGGGCTTCCACAAACTTTAGGATACGCCCCAAACACGTTTTATAGATAGGTTTAAAAGATCTGTTAACGTCAATTTCATGTCCAGTCTCTATAATATGTTTCGCGATAGACGCATCCACTGCATCCACTCCTTATGACTTATGATTTCCAATTAAACTGTTTTGTTCTTCGTTATTACTATTCCTTTGTCTCACACCTCTGTTTACTGTCTATATTATGTATTTCTCCTACTTTCTTCTTTTGCTTTGTGTGCTACAAGGAGGGAGTGTGGCGACTTGAACTGCCGCACATATGTGCAAAGTTTTATGTCGAAAACAGACAGACATAGTACTTCATCAAAAAAGAATAAAACAACTGTACGAATATATTCTTTATTAATGAATTTATCATTTAGGATAACTATTGATCATTTAACTCAGTAATTAAGCGACGATGTACTAAATGTGTGACAGTTGACGATATTTTCCAACTGAAAAAAACAACTCGGTTTGAATCCGTAACCAACCGATCAAAGCCAACCATCTACACAGATACATTGACTAACTGAGTCTCAACCTAGAACCTTGCATAGAAGTACAACACTTCAAGTTGCCAAAATTCATATTGCACACAAAGGCAAAAAGAAAAAGACATTCACAAGGACTACAATGACCAGAAATGTAAGGAAGAAGATAGAATAATCCCATAGAAAAACGTGGGGATTCAATGGGTCTGAAAGGTTATAAGTCCTGAATGCATCTACCCCATTGAAAACGATTTTGAGCCACATCACCAACAGTTTCAAGTCATGTTTTCCTGTTGTCTCGAGAATTCCAGTCAGGCAGTCTACACATCTCTACGTGACGGCTCAAACCAACAGTTAAACACCTCATGCACTGATGGTATGTTTTGATTTGAACATCCCTAACTCTTTCTTAACCTAATCCTATGTCAGCTAACATACCTTAACGAGGAAGGAAATGGCTTGACATGAGTTGCACGGGTCCTAGCCATTTGAATCGATGTACCGTCATAGTCTCATCAGTTGACTTTTCCTCCTTACCTAATATACCCTACGCCTAACCTTAATATTACTCACTATGCAATACCACATAACATGAGAAACACGGAAGACATGAAAAGATTAGCTGTCTTTGATCATATGTGTCTGCGTTCTATCTCCCGTGTGAAGTGGTATGATAAGGTGAGCAATACTGAGGTTAGGCGTCGAGTGCTAGGTAAGGCGGGAAAATCAATCGACGAGGCTTTGAAATTACATCGACTGAGATGGTTAGGACATGTGTTACGTATGCCTAGTCTAGTCATCTCCTTCCTCGACAAAGGGCAATGTTAGCTGACACGGGATCAGGCTGGAAAAGTTAGCGGCGGTCAAACCAAAACATGGCTTCACCAGTCAATAAAATCCACAACAGTTAGTCTAAGCCATGTAGGAAGGTGTAGACTTCCTGGTTGAGGTCCTCGGGATGGTAAAAACCAATGGTTGGAAACAATTGGTGACATGGTTCGAAATCGTTCTCAATGGCTGGTGCAGATGCATCCACTCCTTGTGACTTATGATTTCCAATGAAACTATATTGTTCTTCGTTATTACTATTCTCCTACTTTCTTCTCTTTCTTTGTGTGCTACATGGAGTGTGGCGACTTGAACTGCCGCATATATGTGCAAAGTTCTATGTCGAAAACCGACCAACCGACCGACCGAAGTAGTGATTAGCAATGGCCTGATTATTCTTCAAGTATGTTCCATCTGCACTACACGGAATCTCCATTTTCAAAAACAGACGTAAAAACAAGTTGAGATTTTGACACCTCTACACTCATTAGCAAGGTGAATTTGTCATATTTATGAGACTCATATTCTCATCATGACAACATGTGCCAGTCAGGGATAATAAATTCTATACTCTAAGTCTATACTTACGTGTAAATCCCATTGGATCATGCCAGTCTTTACCCATACGTTCAGGAGCAGCTTCGCGTTCAGCTGTTACCTGATTTTGTCTTTCCTGTTGCTTCATTTCACGTCTTTCCTTTTGTAGAGCTTGTCTCATCATAGCCGCCTGTTGGAGTGATCCATCTGGATTTTTAACAATTCTAACAGGTGATAGATCCATAGCATGTCGACCATGACCCTATGAAATAAAACCAGAGAAAATATATAGGAAAGATAATTAAGTAACTGTTCAATAATTAAATAAATTTAGGAATTATTTAAACCTGACACAAATAAATATACATACTTGCATTTATACAAAAGTACAACTACCAAGGGAGACAAAATTGCATACTTCCTAGCACCACAATGTGTATGTAATAATAACTTACACTAAAAGTCAGATATCTGTCTATCTGGATTCAACACAGAACTTGGCACCGAAGTGCAGCAGTTCGAGTTGCCACGTTCCAAATACCACACACAGGTAGACAAGAAAATGAGTGAAAAGAATCAATAGAGTTTTGACAAGTATAAGAGTGAAACAGAATGAGTAATGGTAGGAAGAAATATCAAAGATTACAGAGACTGAATACATCTGCGCCACTGACAACGATTTTCAGCCATGTCACCTATTGTCTCCAGCCATTGATTCTTAGAATCCCGAGGGCCCCAACCCGGAAGTCTGCATCTCCCTACCTGACTCAGTTTAACTGTCAGGGATTTCATGGATTAATGCCATACTTTTGTTTGGCCACCACTTACTCTTTTCCAACCTGCACCTATATCAGCTAGTAATGCCCGTCGGGGGAGGCGATGGTTAGGCATGCGCAGCACGTGACCTAGCCATCTCAATCTATGTAACTTTATAGCCTCTTCGATTGATTTTCCCTCTTTGCCCAACACTTTACACCTAACGTCAACATTACTTATCTTATTGTGCCACCTAACGTGAAAAAGAGATCGTAGACATCTATGATCGAAAACAGTCAACCTTTTCATGTCTTCAACTCGTATTGGCCATGTTTCAGAGCCATAGAGAAGGACGGTGCGAACTGCTGAGCAGTACACACGTCCCTTGGTTGATAGCCGGATGTCACGCCTACGCCAGAGATGGTGTAAGTTAGCGAAAGCAGCCCGAGCGTTTTGGATCCGTGCTGAGATTTCGTCACCAATCAATCCATTGGTGCTGATACAACTTCCCAAGTAGGTGAAGTGGTCAACATGTTCTATCACTTCACTCCCTATCACTAAGCTAGGGGTGGACGTAGTCCAGTCCTGTAGCAGCATCTTACATTTTACAGGGGCGAATTGCATGCCAAACATACGAAGATTGCTGCTCAAGGTGTTCAGAAGACTCTGCATTTTGTCAGATAATAATGAAAGGTAAAGAATAGTGACCTAGGAAAACGACCGACTCACTGACACTTTGAAGAGGTCATTCACGTTTTCAGTAGTTAATAATGCACTTATAAAAAGTGAATCAGGTTTATCATTAATAACAAATGCTGCTAAACAGCACCCAGTTAGGCGTCTTCAAATAAACCACAACCACAACCTCAAACTTCAACTCTGGACTCTAAACAATAATCATTTACAACGTAGATTTCATCACGAGCCAACATCAGTTAGAGCACTAAGCAGCTGTTTCCTCCTAGTCTGGGACTCTTCGGTTGTACGTGCCCACGACCCTATCAGGGATCGAACCTGGGACCTTGAAATCACCTAATATTGCAATGAGAATTAGTGGCCACTGGATCCAAACTATGTCAGGGTGAGGTGGATTCTCATCACTGGCATTGGTTGGCGACAGAGCTATACTACGATTTGACAGAGGTTATAATTCACGGATCATCGGATTTCTGCAAAAGTGGTTGATTCGTCAGCGAGCTGACCTCGTAATCTGGAGGTCCCTGTTTTTCAGTGATTCTCTATTCGGTGATGGTTCGTGACGAGATATACATTGGAGCCAATCCAAATCCCTGCAAAATCCATAATCTAAATAATCATTTAGGTGAATATTGACACTCCTGTGAGAAAGCGGAAGTTAGTCTTGCAACATTCTAAAGATTCTGACACTTCTTTTAATACTTTTTACAAGAACATATTGTTTTTCACCTAAATTTGCTTGGTTTACTCTTATAAGGTAGTCTACTGAAGGTCCATTTTATTTCATCTTAAGACTCTGTTCAAAGTGCATTTGTATAAACTATTTCAAGAATGAACATAATACTCCTGAATTGACAAAAGCTATTTCAGTGAATATCATTTTTAATATATTATTATCGCTGACTTATGAAGGGGCATAAGCATCATAAAGCATGTCTATTTACGCTCTGAACTAACTTCCAGTTAATTTCTACTTTTCATTAGGTAACCGGCTAAAAGTATAGTGTGGCTAGCGACAACACCGACGCTCGAAGGGTACTGCGATTAAAAATAGAGGTCACTGGAATTCGACTGAAGCGTTAAACAAGATATCCCCTATTACATATGGGGGATATAAACTAGTACCTTACAAAGATTATAGATTCAAGCTGCTGACGCAGTCCTAGAGGTGATCGGCCGACCGGGAAATAGGTTTCGTGCTTATTGGTAGTCGTCATTAGTGTAGCTGTGGCCTCGGTGGAATCGGTGTCCCTAGGAGACTAGAACCCACATCACTTGGTGATGTAGTTAGAGACATTACCACTGAGCTATTCGGGCCCAAGATTGCCCTCCTGTAGGACAGTAGTGGATATGTATATACAAATATGTAGAACGAGAGAGAGAAATAGGGAAGATATGTAACTCAGATCGGTAATATTGGTGTAGTCATGCTTTAAATGAGAAGCTTCCATTGTCTTTCCAGACAATACTTTCACAACCCTGACTCCTATTCTTATTATTTATTTACACTTCCGCCCACCGAGATAATTAAGTTGCACTACAATTATCGCATTATATAAATTAACATATTACAAAGTGCAGTTACTCACATTGACTGTCTCCCAATAAAAAAAAAAATAAATTCAGAAAACTATTTTATTTCACATACCTTAAGAAATGGTGGTTCTTCTTCAACAAGTTCAATTTCAATATCTTCATCAGATTCTTCTTCTTCACGCGGTAGAAGTCCAGTCTCTTCATCGAAATCAGGTAGTTCTGTTTTCTCAATAACTCCAGCTGACATCATTTGTTTCAATTCCCAACGTTCTGGACTACTAATTCGTTGAACTTTCCTAGAGAATAAAGTATAGGAAAAAGGGAATAAATCCATTGAACAATGAATAATTTATGTTAACTTATACTATCAGGAAGTGAATGGGCGGTTATGAAGTCCCAGCTGCCTACTGCATGGAAATAGATTTCTTCTTGGAGTGCCTGAAACAAAAGCAGCATTAGTGTTGCGTGTCCACAGGGGAACAACTGCTTGAGGTCGGTCACACACAGCCTGTTTAAGTTGGTTCTTGAAGTTGTCTGTATTAGGATCTTACCGCCGGCTATGGATCACCACAAGGTAAATCATGAATTGGCAGAAGTTAGAATTCATGGGCTGGTCATTGCATCGGGTCCCAGTGGCTTAATGGTTTACGAGCTCACCTAATAACCACGAGGTCCTGAGTTCGAACCCCACAGTGTGGATGAAGAGTCTCAAACTAGGATGAAACAGCTGTCCAGTACTCCCAGGTGGTTTTCCAATGGTTCTCTAACTGATGTCAGCTCATGATGAAATCCTCCAACAAATCAGGACATACAATTTTCGGGGACAACGTTTCCTAATCCCCTTCTTCAGAGTGGAGAGATGACATAGCTGGCTTGCTGATCTTACTGTTGTTACATGTCTATTCGCCAGAAGTATGACTTCGCCTACAGACCTCCAACAAAGAACTATACTACGATGGTAACTGCTTTCCAAACGACGTTTTTGGCATGACTGGAACTGTAGGAGCACTAACTCCAGCCAGCATAGCTCATTGGGTCAGTGCATTATGCAATCCCGACCACGAAGTCAAGATAGCAGCTCTCCGTTGGGATGCTATGAGAATAGAATTTGCGCACTATGGTAGAGTATAATTCCACAATAGAATAATTTTGTTTGATAAAAGCACATAGTGATATAGTATTATTTACTGATGTTTCGAGCACAATTTACTACTCATGAGTAAATCGTGCTCAAAACGTTATCAGTAAATAATACTGTATTATTGTGTGTTCTTATCAAATAAAATCATTCTACGATGAAACTTCTACCAATATTTTTAAGCTTTACAGTAGACATATTCCAAGGAAAAGCTTTTTTTAAAAAAAATTAAGCATACCTTTTTGGACCCGATTCAATATCTTCTTCAAATCCTACATCTCTACGTCTACTACCAAAAAGTCCTGGTCCAGCATTGGTTGGAGGACGATCTGGATTACGTACTCCGTCAATATTTTCTTCATCCACTAAACGTATTTTATCTTTACCCGATGAATCAGTAGAATAACTTATTTTTTTCTCATGATTAATATTTGAAGGATTTAAATCGGCACCAGTTTCTTGGTCTACTTCACGCATACTCAAACCAGTTCGAGTACCAGTAAAAGAGATCACCTTTACCCAAACCTTTAAGAGAGAAAGAGAGACAAAAAGTGTTTAATGTAAGAATAGAATTTCAATAGTGTAGTAGAATATAAATGCATATTGGATAAGTTTATCTGATATAAGACACAGTGAATGATGACGTTTCGAGCACAATTTATTGCTCATAATCATTTCAATGTAAAGTCCTACTCCCTGATGCGCTCTTTATTGCAATTTCCCCCTATATCCGCTACAGACAATGCGTCATCTCAATTGCACGTGTTTGGTGTTGATTCAATGAGCAAAGATCCCCTCTTCAACCTAACTATGTTACTTTTCAATGCTTTTATCCTATCCCACCATACTGTTTGACTATATGCGAATGAATGCATTGCAGTAGCCGACCTTTTCTCCAGATGATTCAGCAGGATCAATCATCCTAGCTCTAGCTAAATTTCTATGTTCCGATAATCTAACTGACACTGATCTACTAGTTTGACCTATGTCATTGACCTCACAATCATTACATGGTATTTGGTAAATTATACCATTTTTCCTAATTGGATCTATCAGGTCCTTAAGCCGACAAAGTCTATCTCTGAGTGAGTTTGCTGGTTTAAATACCACCCTAATTCTAGCCTTCTTATGAACCCCACGTAGGGCATTTAATGTTTCTTCTTTATATGATGGTATTATCGAGGCTTTGAATTCCTTATTATTCTCATTGGTCTTCATACATTTTTAAACTTAAAAAAGTATATTTATACCCATGATTGCATAACACAACGATCACATTAAATTTTAGAGAAAAAGGTAGCAAAAGAAATGTTAGTGCAACTTAGTTACTCAACACATTTTTCACATGTACTAGACAATCAGCCTCCCTTAATACCTGAGGGTATGTAATATTATCCGGTTACTACGCATGAAGTTCTATGCGGTTGGTAGTTTTTGCATTACTATTATTATTAAATATGTACAAACTATTGGCTAAAATAAAATATAACAAGTTACCTTTTGATTCCGATTAACAACATCTGCAACATTAGCTACACGACCTTCTCGACGAAGTTGAGAAACATGCACTAATCCTTCCCATCTTTTACGAAGACCATCTAATTGTACAACTGCTCCAAATGCAAGTATATTGGTAACACGACCACGGTATATATCTCCAACAGATGGTTCCAACGGTAGATCATTATGATGTTTATTCTCAGATGAATTTGGACTGTTTGAACCACGAGAAGATTTTTTCGGTGGAGTACGATCAGCTCGTGATCGATTCCTATGATTTGATGATCTATTGTCTGGAGATCGATCTCTAGAATGACGTCGCGTAGAGTGTGGTGATGGAGATCTAGATTGTTTTCGATGAGGGGATCTAAAATCAACGTTTAAAAATACTACGTTAGATAACAAAACTTAACTGAATTTCATATAGTCGACATTCACACTATACTCACTGAAAAATTGGTATGTGACGAATTCAATCCACTGGAAGATATATCAACGCAAGAGAGCCACAACTAAACGGCATGGCGTAGAACAGTAATAGAATAACTCTACTTGGTAATTTATAAATACAAAACATCACAGTGAATACTAACAATAAGGAGTAATTCTTCACTTTTTACAAAACTTCTAGTCTTATATTGAATCATATGAGATTAAGGAGAATTTAGAACGAATCTGAACATATCAAGTGAATAAATACGACTGTTAACTGTTTAGATATATTATTATTTATTGTTCCCTTGGGTTCCTAGTGGAACATAGGGCTTCAACTACACGCCTCCATTTGTTTCTGTCTTCTGCTGTACTTTTCACCTGCATCCATGTTAGTCCATACTGTTTCAACTCCTCTTCACACGATCTCCTCCATGTCACCCTTGCACTGACGTCCCACTCGCCGCTTCCCTTTCGGGTTCCACTCGAGCACTGGCCCGACGCGCGATGTCACCCAGCGGCCTCCTCAGCTAGTGTCCAATCCATCTCCACTTTCTCCTGCATATTTGTTGAGCGATTGGTCCTTGTTTTGTTTGTTCCCATAGTCTCTTGTTGGTGATTCTTTCCGGCCATCTGATCTTCAGTATAGAACGAAGACAGCTGTTGATAAAAGTCTGCAACAGGCTGTTGGAAATATTCTTTGTGACACACTGGCCACGTTTCTCATCCGTATAGAAGAACTGACACTTTACGTTTGTATTGAAAATCCGAATCATTTTGTTGTTGATGCTGAGTGACGAAGATTTCCAGATTGGTTTCAGGTTGATGAATGTGTTTCTCAACTTCCCGATTCTCGACTTTAAATCCTCGTCCGTTCCTCCTGTAGTCGAGACAGTGCTCCCTAGATAAGTGAAAGAAGTAACCTCTTTCAAATCCCTCTCGTTGATAGTGATTGGCGCTGGATGTTGCTGTTGCTGTTGGTTGGTTGGTTATTTTCATAACCTCCGTCTTGTCTATGTTCACCTGGAGTCCTGTGTTCTCTGGCTGCTTCTTTGACCAGTTTGTCGGTTTTCGCTTGTAAGTCTTCGATTTTATGTGCCATCAAACATAAATCATCTACGCGCGAAATCCAGGTCTTCTAGGTTCTTCACGTCGGTCCACTTTCTGACGCGTACATCTAATAACAGTAAATCTGACAATCTTATTCTTCTATATTTCCCAAATAGTTTAGATATATAAATTGACTACGCTCTTTTGCCAGATCAGTAACCTGATAAATCAAAGTAATCTTCATTGTTGTTCTTGAACCTCTAGGAAAAACACATTTCCGTTGAAATGCATCAACCAAAGTTATCGATAATTGTAGTTGGGGAAACATTTAGCCTCGCTGCCGGTGTCTAATCGACAGTCCTGTTCAATACTCAACTTCTAGTGATGCTACTTATTAAAAGTGACATTACTGATTATGCCATAAGTTATTTGAAGGTAGGTATATCGACACCCAAATCTATCATACTCTAATGATCTTTAACTCATATCGTTAAACAAGTGACACTTAATAAAGAAAAACAACATGCAATTTCAAGCACCAGGTTTGGAATTACTAAATAAACGTGAAAATTAGTTGTGAAACATTTTGTCATACAGTGATTACGTTACACAATAAATATAGTAATGATCAAAGAAGACTTATATAAAGAAAGCAAATCAATAAGTGAGCCTTATAGCAATATGTACACATTTGTTTACTATAAAACCATGAAAGATCTCAGTAGGAAGAGGGCTACTCCAATCTGAGTCTCAATGGCTGACAGCTAACCATTTACACTGATGCAATAAAAATTCGTCGAAGGAAATTCTATATCGATTTCTGACCAACTTATCCAAGAAGTTACTCAAACTATCCTATGAGATGATAAGAAATCAAATCAAACCAACAAAATTATCACATTGAGGAACAGGAGAACTATTTTCTTTCGAAGAAAAAACTGAAGATTAACACAGACAGAGATATTTTTATATACATAAAGTGATTGATTCGGTGGTAGAATGTTTACTAACCACCAACCACCTAAATGGCCCCAGACTCGATTCTTTCCCGACGCACTACTACTAAAACCGATTAGCTGTTAGTCAGCCCGGTGGTAAAAGGGGAAGTTTGAGTGTGAGACTATCAACCCCACTCCAACAAAAACAACACCACGGCTACTGAACTATCAAAGCTCAAGTTTGAAACCCGATGTGTCGTACTTGGAACACAAAGGGAATGACAAAGAATGTTTCACAATAATTATTATCTTTTCAAGTTGAACTGCGAGAATAATATTGGATCGTAAATACATTTTTTAAATAAAAAGAATATGTTATAGGAAATCTTTAGTTAAAACAATGAAATAACGACAGTATATGGGGAAATCAATCAAAGTATCACACGTATATGTGTAAAATAATTCAAGACACCTGAGTGATGCACAGCAAAAACTGTTATTGTTAGTTAAACACACATTTTATAACATTCATGTACAGCAAAATATACTCTTCAAAATCTCTCATTGACAGCTAAAGCAAAGAGGATATTTAGAGTTATCATGCATAGAATTACTCAGATTTTTAAAACACTTTGCTAGCCACCAAAATGGTTTTCCATTAAGACATCCAGAAAATTATTTTACAAAACAGGAATCCATAAAAATGAAAGTAAAGGCCCCCCCCCAAAAAAAGCGGAAGCAGTATCGAAAATAACAGTGATAGTAAGTAATTAACCCTTTAAGGTAAACACCTAACAATTACTGATATAACACGTTTAAAAAGAGGTTATGATAGTGGTGGGCAGGGGGGGGTAGGGAAGACTGAAAAAAAGAAAACTAATCATTTACCTGGAACGTTTTCGATGACCACGATGATCACTAGACGTGAGTGAATTTCTTTGATGAGCTCTTCTATCTGAACGACGTGAACGATGTGGAGATTTCGAGTGGGAACGTGAACGTGAACGACGACCACTAGTATTATAGAGGGAAATATACATTTTTAAACATGGTATCCCCTTATCACTCTCTTCTCACACAGAGAGGTAGAATAAAAGATTTATGAATGAAGTAATGATGAAATGAACTCAAGTTGGAAACGAAAGACTGGAAAAAAAATTAATTAATGGGCTGAACGGAATCACTTTCTAAACCTATCTTTCTTTTGACTAATGACTTCATTATAATACTGATAAGTAGTGTAATTCGGCAGCCGAATACACATTTATGAACCAGTCTAGAAGGATACGATAAGTACGGAGAGGAATGACACTAATGTCTAAAAGGACATTATTGATCGGAAAAGTGATACGAGGATTGTATGCCACAGAAACAAATCTCAGAAGGTGAATCACAGATGTGTTTTTTTCCATAGATTATAACCGCCATGACAACAATGACTCTCTCATTAGAGGTCAAAAATATTATATTTAGGTGATTAAGCACCAGAAACACTCTATTACGAAGTAAGAGAGCAAAATAAAGTTACACAGAGATGAAATGTGACAAGTGTTGAGCACACTTTGCTAAGAATACTAAGTCAGAATAAAAGCAAATACAGTCATGAAATAGGCTTCTTTGTCAACACAATATATTTTGTTATTTCTCAAACTAACTTGGACCATAATAAACATAATGTTAAATGAACGATGAGTGTATTAGGATTATTTAACACAGAGGTTTGTTAAAATATGGGATGTTCTTAACAGTTGCAAGCCAATCTTCATCATACATTTATATTATTGTTATTGCACTCAAAGAATCACTCATTTTTACGAGACAACCAACATATTCATACTGATGTATCAGCTGACACAGTCATGAGCCCAATAACCCTTAATCTTAATGTAAGTGTTTAAGTAGAATGAAAAGAGTCGAACGACAAGGTACAACTGCATGCAGATGACAATTAGCCAAACTTATTGTATGACATTTTTAAGTTTCACTACTTGAAACATTTGTTTTGTTTTTTGATGTTCCAGAGGCTTTGAGCCACACTTATCATGTGATGGCTGATGATACTACCCAGGTGCTTAGGCTCAAGTTGGTAGAGTGAGACTCGAACCCGTGACCCATCAACTAGAAACTGAGTGAGCTTAAGCCAATGAGCCTCGTCTCCACTGAAACTTATTGTATAATTGTATAATTATGTTATCTGGGTACCCAAACGTCGATAAACGGAGTGAACCACAACCACAGCACCACAACGATAAAACACGAAATAATGAAGCCTCTTACTATTGGCTTTTACAAGACTGGGAGGAATAAACTATCCAATCACAGTTCCTAAAAAAGATAGCTTAGTACTTTAAATGATATGGGGTAATTAATAGTTTCAGTAGTGCCTTCAGAGTCTCCTGTCTTTTCAATCTTGAGGATATTAAAACCTCATTCTTTATTTTATGTACAGACTTCCTTCTCCTATCTTTTTCTTTCATTTTTTTCACAGCAATCAATATCCACGTCATTATCAATTAGTTCTTCCGTTTACTAGCTCTGTAGGTGGCACGTCGGACTGATATGTGCTGGTGTCTCTCTTTACACGTTTGTACATGCCAAACCACCACCTTTCTTAACGAGCAATGTCAGCTGATATAAGACTAGGTCAGAAAAGAATTAGGAATGGTCAAACCCAAGCCTAGCATCAGTCCACAATGTCTCTGACAGTTTGTTTATGTCAATTAAGGAGGTGTAGACTGCCTGGCTAGGGTTCTCCAGATTCTAAGAACGAATGGCTGGAGACTACTGGTGACATGGCTCACTGGTGCCGATGCACTCACCCGTTGTAATCTCTTAGATCTATTATATCTGCACGTTTTCCATGTTTTTATTCTATTTTCCGTACATTTTTGTTCATTATTGTCCGCCTGAATTTCACTTTTCTCTACTACATTGTATGCTACATGGGGCGTGGTAACTTTAACTCCTATACTGCTGGACAAAGTTCTCTGCTGAAACACACTCAGTCAGTTACGTCCAGAAATAAAATAACGACCGAGTACACGAAGACAGAATAAACCATAAACAGAAAAAATCCTACAAAACAAATATGATACAACTTGAAAATAACCAGGCACTGAGGCACTCCAAAATGAATACTCCAATCAACGAAGTTTATTTAATAGACAATACACTAAAGTCGGTTAGAATGAAATACATTAACAGACCAATATTTACAAAAAAGTACATTTAAGCACTAATAAACATGTAAAAGCTACTCACCGTCTACTTTCATTCTTTTTTTCACTGTGTGATTTAGATTCTGACAAAGAAGCTCTATAAAAGAAAAGAAAAGTTTTTTTAGAAAAAACAAATGTCTGTCTGTTTTCGACATAGAACTTTGCACATATATGCGGCAGTTCAAGTCGCCACACTCCATGCAGAGAAAAAACAAATATTACTTTAGAAATTGCAATACTTACACTTTAGCATCTGTTAACAATAATTCCAAGTCTTTAATCATAGCCATAGCTTCAACATCATCTCCACTATTGACATTATTATCATCACCATTACAGTATGATTTATTTTCCAACTCTTCAGGATGAATGAATCTCTCATTTATTCCATTAGTTCGATCCCCGGAAGATGTATTCATGGTATGAGATTTTACATCCTCTGATTCAATATCTGATAGCTAAAATAAGAAAATGAATCAATGACAAGATTCTTTATGATATAAACGACAAAATACCTTTCCGTCAACTGGATCTTCATTCGGCATACATAAGGCGGGTAGAAGTCTTTTTCTCAGTTCTAATTTATTTTTTACAGTATCCTGTTCCGTCTCTGGTTTTTTATTTGATGTTACAGTTTTCTTTTTAGTAACTTTTTCTTTCTTTGGAAGCATTTTTTCGACTAAGCGTAAAATACTTGCTATCAATGGATCCTACAGGAACGAAATAAAAAGACAGTTATTGAAAAGAAAGCTGAGATAATTTCACTTACTGTAAACTCAGCACCCTTTTTTTCTAAGGCATTTTTGAATTTGTCAAAGGTTGGATTTTTCTTTGCCAAATGAATAACAAATTCAGCTGAGAGAAAAAAAAGTAGTTGAAATAGGATATTAGTAGGCAGACTTACCTAAAGCTTTATCATCCAAACCTAAATGATTTGTCAACTCTGTGCAAACTTTTGAAACTAAAGAGTAGTACTCCAACTGACGAAAGCTAGAATCATCTGATTCAACAACCATGATGAATGAATAGATAGGGACTCTAAAAACATTAAAAAGCATGTATATTTAGTAGAGGTTGTAGCAAGTGTGAGTTAACAAGTTAATAATTTAAAATAACCACAAAAAATCATATTTTCATCAGTGCATAATAAGATTTCGAGGCATACAAAGTTAACAAGGGTAAAGCGAATGCTTTTCAGAAGTCAGTCACAGACTCCTGAATTCAGCCGAATAACAAACCCCTTCACTTCATTATTGACTATTAAATCACTCCGCATCACTTTACGTTGTCAGACTTCGAAACAAGTAGAATTATGCTACAGCGGATAAGAGAATAGAATATTGAGTATTAAAGACTTAGGAAGTCTTCACAGGAAGTTGTAAATACATCTACGCTACTGTGGAATATAATAAGGCATTTCACCAAGAGTCTCCAACCATTGATTCTTAGCATTCCAAGGATATCCAGGTACTTACACTTTCCAACATAGCACACGTCGACAGTGAGTGACTCTACAGATTGATTTCACATCTCAGTCCTACTTACTGGTCTAGGCACCCAAATCTCTACCAGTGAATTATGAGTAAAAAACCCCGTTTTACCTGCCAAGAATTGGAGAGCCAGATATCACCAGTCATCAAACGATGTGTAACTCATCGTTAAGTGCACTGATATGCGAGTGATCGTTGAGAAGTATGTACTCTTCCATTTTTGAATATTTTCAAAGCCTATTCTACATCAGAAATCAAGGCACGTTTACAAAGGTGGTAGCTCAGTAGGTTAGATATATTAAAGCTACCTCAATTGCTGGAGCTTTACAAATCTCAGTTACTGCCTTACCTTCATTACCTAACAATATATTTACTTCTAATACTACCTACCATTTAACTCCATCCAACAAGGGTATTTGAACAGAAAATTTCACAATTTACGAGTCTTTCACTGTTAACTGGTTATCATTTAAAAATAAAACTCCCCGCAATCTCTGTAGAAATGCCAGGCTTTTAAGCCATACATGATGAGAGCCCTCAGAGGTGACCCAGCAGAAGCGACGATCTCCATTGATAACTTATAGCAAAGTAGTCTGTGTGTTCACCAACCAATGAGTTTTCTGCCTTCTAGCTTTGTGTCATCCGCACGGACAAAAGCTCCAGAGAGCTCGTTATACAGTCTTCTGAACTTTTTAGATCGCTTGGGTTGATCAGACTTTATTAAGTGAATAAACACAATCAGACCTGTGTGTGGCTTCAATATACAACAGGCATCCAGAGCCCGAAATGCCAGTGTTGGCTAATGAGGTTTGTTGACCGATTTGATACAGAACTTAGACGTTAAAAGCTCCAAAAATAAGCTAGTAATATGGCTTTAAAAGACTAGGAGTAATATCTTTCTCATTAATTTAGAAACTACCACGGACAAAAAACTGCACGAGGTGCCGTATCAGCAGACTATCTGTCTGTCTGGTTTCATCATAGGACTTCGCACCGGTGTGCAGCAGTCCGAGTTACCACACTTTACTCAGAACACAAAGCAAGAAACGAAAGTAAGAAGAAACGCAAAATGGAGAGAGTAAACAAAGATATGAGGCAAAAAGAATAGTAATATCGAAGAACAATATAGTTGTATTGGAAATTACGAGTTCCGCAGGTACAAGTCTTACACCCAGGTGTACAATGCATCAGCATCAGTCGGAATGTACAGTTTTTACGGGCAATTTTTAAACACCCTAACACAAGAGTTTAAAGTAGCTAGCTTAATGGTATTCTGAAAAGGTAGACTATTGAAGTTATGTTCTGCCGCCGACAGAAGAACTTCAACTTTAGGTCACAAAGAAGCATGTTTCAGACCAGGTAGAGAGAAAAATGATCAAATCTTAACCTTTCGGCACGTTATGGAAGACACGTACACTTACTAGCGCCCGAAATATGAAATATTTCTTAACTTAAAGGTATTAATGTCAGCAAAAAGTTTCAGCATTGTGAAATAAATCAAGTAAATTATAATTACATTCCAATAGTTTAAACACAAACAAGTTTTCGTTTGTGGTAATATTTCGAGCAAAATTACTGCCCGTGATCACATCAACTATTGGAATTGTTTTGGTTTCAATTCACACATTTATGATTTGTACTCATACATACAGTTCTTATTTTGTCTACTCATTTTTGTGTATCCAGAATTATATTCCAGGTTGTTGACAGTTGTGCTGAATCGCCCTTATATGTATCCGGTGTGACCTTAATGAATACAGATTCTGTTATAAGTATCTCTTTCCATAAAAGCAGATGAATCCACTATCATTACTCAAGCAGACAAAGGAAACACAACAGTAATACTTCACAAAACAACATATACGGAAAAGATGAATGAACATTTACAATCTGGACCATATACCCTAATGACCAAATCATCAGAAACAATCACAAACAAAACGATGAAAGAAACAGCAAAGGTGGTTAGACAGACGAAAGAAGTAATTAATAAGTCAAAATGGTTTGAAATTATGCCAAAATCATGTAATATACCTAGGATATATGGCAAGATAAAACTGCATTAAGAAGGGTATCCAATAAGACCGATTGTAGATTTTAGAAACCTTCCAACGTATATGCTGTCAATATTTCTCTCAACAATACTAAGACCAGCAAGAGACAATTCAAAGTTAGAATAGTAGATTATCATTTAAATTAATGAGACGACTAAAAAACACTAAAACAGACGAAGAGGAAATACTAGTCATCTTTGATGTAAACAGTTTATTTGCCAAAATACTCATTCAAATAGCCATGGATGCACTGAAAACGACACTAAAAGATGATGGTCTAAAGGACAGGACACAATTATCCGTGGGAGCGATAATAAAACAACATATCTTGAGTTTGAAGGGAAAATATACCAGCAAAATGAAGGAATAAGCTTGGCATCGCCCATCTCACCAAATATATCTAACACTTTCATGGATTTTTGGGAAGAGAATGCACTTAAACCATTCAGGTCATCAATAAAATGTTGGTGGAGATATGTAGACAACCGTTAGTAATAATAAAATAGAGTGACGTTGAGAAATTCTTCTCGCACATAAACAGTCATGTTGAATCAATAAAATTCACTATGGAAAAAGAGAATGAAATTGGGGAACTGCCTATTTTAGACTACAAAATACAAAGAGTAACAGATGGTAGCATAAAACAACGCTATATAAAAAACTGCACACTGGAAGATTCCTTGATTATCACTCAGCTCAGCAGATATAATACGCAGACTTACAACAACACCAGAGGACCAGCGTAAAGAAATAAACGTCCTATTCAAAATGTTACTCGACAACGACTACTCAAAAGAACCTACTGAAGATAATATGAAAAAGGGAAAAGAGGGTAAAACTCGGTTGGTCGGTTTTCGACATAGAACTTTGCACATATGTGCGGCAGTTCAAGTCGCCACACTCCATGTAGCACACAAAGCAAAAGAAGAAAGTAGGAGAAATGCATATCGGAGACAGTAAACAGAGGTGTGAGACAAAAGGAATAGTAATAACGAAGAACAATATAGTTGTATTGGAAATTACGAGTTCCGCAGGTACAAGTCTTACACCCAGGTGTACAATGCATCAGCATCAGTCGGAATGTACAGTTTTTACGGGCAATTTTTAAACACCCTAACACAAGAGTTTAAAGTAGCTAGCTTAATGGTATTCTGAAAAGGTAGACTATTGAAGTTATGTTCTGCCGCCGACAGAAGAACTTCAACTTTAGGTCACAAAGAAGCATGTTTCAGACCAGGTAGAGAGAAAAATGATCAAATCTTAACCTTTCGGCACGTTATGGAAGACACGTACACTTACTAGCGCCCGAAATATGAAATATTTCTTAACTTAAAGGTATTAATGTCAGCAAAAAGTTTCAGCATTGTGAAATAAATCAAGTAAATTATAATTACATTCCAATAGTTTAAACACAAACAAGTTTTCGTTTGTGGTAATATTTCGAGCAAAATTACTGCCCGTGATCACATCAACTATTGGAATTGTTTTGGTTTCAATTCACACATTTATGATTTGTACTCATACATACAGTTCTTATTTTGTCTACTCATTTTTGTGTATCCAGAATTATATTCCAGGTTGTTGACAGTTGTGCTGAATCGCCCTTATATGTATCCGGTGTGACCTTAATGAATACAGATTCTGTTATAAGTATCTCTTTCCATAAAAGCAGATGAATCCACTATCATTACTCAAGCAGACAAAGGAAACACAACAGTAATACTTCACAAAACAACATATACGGAAAAGATGAATGAACATTTACAATCTGGACCATATACCCTAATGACCAAATCATCAGAAACAATCACAAACAAAACGATGAAAGAAACAGCAAAGGTGGCTAGACAGACGAAAGAAGTAATTAATAAGTCAAAATGGTTTGAAATTATGCCAAAATCATGTAATATACCTAGGATATATGGCAAGATAAAACTGCATTAAGAAGGGTATCCAATAAGACCGATTGTAGATTTTAGAAACCTTCCAACGTATATGCTGTCAATATTTCTCTCAACAATACTAAGACCAGCAAGAGACAATTCAAAGTTAGAATAGTAGATTATCATTTAAATTAATGAGACGACTAAAAAACACTAAAACAGACGAAGAGGAAATACTAGTCATCTTTGATGTAAACAGTTTATTTGCCAAAATACTCATTCAAATAGCCATGGATGCACTGAAAACGACACTAAAAGATGATGGTCTAAAGGACAGGACACAATTATCCGTGGGAGCGATAATAAAACAACATATCTTGAGTTTGAAGGGAAAATATACCAGCAAAATGAAGGAATAAGCTTGGCATCGCCCATCTCACCAAATATATCTAACACTTTCATGGATTTTTGGGAAGAGAATGCACTTAAACCATTCAGGTCATCAATAAAATGTTGGTGGAGATATGTAGACAACCGTTAGTAATAATAAAATAGAGTGACGTTGAGAAATTCTTCTCGCACATAAACAGTCATGTTGAATCAATAAAATTCACTATGGAAAAAGAGAATGAAATTGGGGAACTGCCTATTTTAGACTACAAAATACAAAGAGTAACAGATGGTAGCATAAAACAACGCTATATAAAAAACTGCACACTGGAAGATTCCTTGATTATCACTCAGCTCAGCAGATATAATACGCAGACTTACAACAACACCAGAGGACCAGCGTAAAGAAATAAACGTCCTATTCAAAATGTTACTCGACAACGACTACTCAAAAGAACCTACTGAAGATAATATGAAAAAGGGAAAAGAGGGTAAAACTCGGTTGGTCGGTTTTCGACATAGAACTTTGCACATATGTGCGGCAGTTCAAGTCGCCACACTCCATGTAGCACACAAAGCAAAAGAAGAAAGTAGGAGAAATGCATATCGGAGACAGTAAACAGAGGTGTGAGACAAAAGGAATAGTAATAACGAAGAACAATATAGTTTCATTGGAAATCATAAGTCACACGGAGTGGATGAGAACGATTTTGAGCCATGTCACCGATTGTTTCCAACCATTGGTTTTAACCGTCCCGAGGACCCCAACCAGGAAGTCTACACCTTCCTATATGGCCTAGACTAAATGTTGTAGATTTCATTGACTGGTGCCATGTTTCCGTTTGACCATCGCTAGCTCTTTTCCAGCCTGACCCTATGTCAGCTAACATTGCCCGGCGAGGAAGGCAATGACTAGGCATATGTAACACATGTCCTAACCATCTCAGTCGATGTAATTTCACAGTCTCGTCGACTCATTTCCCCTCCTTACCTAGCACTCGATGCCTAACCTCAATATTGCTCACCTTATCATACCACTTCACACGGGAGATACAACGCAGACACCTATGATCGAAGACAGGTAATCTTTTCATGTCTTCTGCTCTCAATGGTCAGGTCTCACAGCCAGTTATGAAGGAGGATGGAGCGGACTGTTGAGCAGTACACACGCCCTTTGGTCGATAGTCGGATATCACGTCTACGCTAGAGATGGCGTAAACTGACATATGCGAAACTAGCCCTCTGTATTCGTGCTCAGATTTCGTCGGAGATCAACCCGTTGGGGCTGATGGTACTTCCCAAATAAGTGAAGCGGTCAACGTGCTCTACCACTTCACTTCCTATTCTTAATCTAGGGGTCAGTGTAGTCCAATCCTGCAGCATCATCTTACATTTTACAGGGGCGAATTGCATGCCAAACATACGAAGATTGTTGCTCAAGGTGTTCAGTAGACTCTGCATTTTGTCAGCGTCCTCGCCTAGAAGGACTATATCGTCCGCATATTCTAAGTCAACGAGATTATTCCCTGGTAGCAAGTCAATCCCTGAGTCGCTGAAGTGTGTTAGGGTTAGGTCCATTAGTACGTCTATGATGAAGTTGAAGAGGAATGGGGATAATGGGCATCCTTAATCAGTGTAATCTATTTTCTCGGCATTCCCTATACAGCCAAACATCGCCAGAGAACCTCTCGGTCGACAGAATCAAATGCCGCCTTTAGGTCAAGAAATATAATGATTGTTGGACGCCGGTAGGAATGCCTATGTTCTAGGATCTGTCGAAAGGTGAAGATATGATCAATACACCCTCTTCCTGGTCTAAAACCTGACTGGTTTTCTCGAGTTTGTGCCAGGGTAAAACTGGAGAATGACAGGACGGAAGAATGCAAACAAACAGTGACAATACCATACAAAAATGGTACATCAGAAGCAATTCGAAGAAACCTCAAAACTATTGAAATTCGCACGACGTTCAAACCGACGAATCTAATTAAGAATAAAATAAATCAACTGAAAGATCCAATAAAAATGATGGATAAAAACAATGTAATTTACAAAATATCTTGTGCCCAGTGTCCGACTAAATATGTGAGTCAAAATAAGAGTAAATGAACATAAACGCCCAACTATACGTCAACCCATAACAATTTAGAAAAAGTTCGTCTACAGCTGCACATGCATGGGATAGAAACCACAAGATTGATTGGGATAATGTTAATATTCTGAAATCGAATATGAACAAATGCAGAGAGAGACTAATAACAGAATTTGTATTCATTAAGGTCACACCGGATACATATAAGGGCGATTCAGCACAACTGTCAACAACCTGGAATATAATTCTGGATACACAAAAATGAGTAGACAAAATAAGAACTGTATGTATGAGTACAAATCATAAATGTGTGAATTGAAACCAAAACAATTCCAATAGTTGATGTGATCACGGGCAGTAATTTTGCTCGAAATATTACCACAAACGAAAACTTGTTTGTGTTTAAACTATTGAAATATAATTATAACTTGTTTAAGGAGGTATACTATGCTGTCGATCCACATGTCACGACAGTATTTGATTATGAAACGAGAATCAACAACGTTTATTATGCGACACACTGCAGCCGACTCGAACTTATGTAGACTCTCTTGCTTCTTCATGAAGTTGCATCACAATGGACTGGTCGTTGACAAAATCTCAACAGGGATAGAAGCAGCTCGTTTAGTATTTGCCAGCTAGTGTGATATATGGTTACCCGTAAAGGCCCATGTACAGTGCATTAGCTCCCTCTATCCTACTTTACGGTTGAGAAGGCCAATAAAAATAGAAGCAATGAGATTACACGTTATCAGTGGTGCCTTCATCCAGCTGCTCACGTCAAACAGAAACACGTGATAAATAACATTGAAGGCATAATATCAGATACAGGAGGATTTGTTCACTTACGAGGTTGTTAAGCTCGATTGAATAAGGTGGGTAGGAAATGTTTCGTACATGTCGAAACACCGCCTAACTCAAACAACAATCTTAGCTGAAATAGGACTATATTAGAAAAGAATCACGGGTAACCAAACCAAAACACGTCACCATTTCCTGAAACATATTGTCTTATAGTGTTAGGAAAAAGTGCGTTTAGAGACCTCATGTGAACCACTTCAATTTTTTAAATGACACATGCATCCACTCTTTACCTTTTCCAAATCCTGTGAATCATTAGTTATCAAATTATTCTTCCATTTTTCCCATCATCATAACTTCATTGCATCCCTTCTCGGTGTTTTTATGTTTTCCTGAAGTATAGCAACTACAGATGACACACTTTTGTGAAAAGTTTTCATTTAGTCAATAAATTAATGCCACAAAAGTAAGAACAACCTAATTATGATAGTGACTGTTTTCATTTCAACCATTATTGGACCAACATTACTTAACTTACTTCCAACTATGACTACATATCTCGTCCAACTAGTAGTTTGATACACCATTATCTCTATTCTCACGTGAAATTTTTTTAACTGAAACGCTAGGAAGGACTACAGACATATGCCGCGAATGATAATCTTGAAAACAAGTTCTTTGCAAACAAGGCAGTAATCAACAGCTGTCATGACGAGAGTCATACGTTCCTATGTGAAGGTCTCCCTTCCGTTCACTAGATCATAGAGATCAGAGGGTCGAAAACGGAATGCAACAAGGAACGATCTGACATAAAACCACCAAACAATCTATTGCTCAACAAATATACTGAGGGAAATACAGATGTACTGGACATACGCTGAGGAGACATTCTAGTGCCATTACAGTTCAATTCCTCGAGTGGAACACAGATGGGAACGGGTTAGGCGTCTGAAGACGTAGATAGCATGTAAATAATGAGGGCAGTGGTGCAACTAGGTGAGTAGTGAAGTGAATGCAGTCATATATGTCGCTAAATCCCCATATTCCACTCAGAACATAAGGAATGAATAATGATAACGCGAAAGACGGATTCGCTTTAGGTAAGAACACTCGAAACTGTCTTGAGATAGCTTCCAATGACAACCTGAATAACTTTGATATTTATATGACTAGAGAAAATCGGATAATTCAGATTATGGGCATTTTTATTTGCCTTGAAAGTCGCACTAACCGCAGTTAGTTTAGAGACAAGACACCTTCAACAAGGCCCCGAAAAATGTCAAAGATCTAGCTGACATGACTCAACTGCAATAACTAATTTGAGAGATTTGTTCTCACTAAAGACACAGTAACTAGAAACGTTATTTTAAAAAAGCCTTACTTTGATTCCTCAAATATGTCAGTTTATAGGTTATCTTTCATGGTACTTGAAATTCCAAAAGGATTAGATACTACCACTGACTCAAACATAGAACTTTATAGTGACCATTACAAAACAAAAACCTCAAAACTTCACAGAATTCACGGAGGGCTTTATCTGGCTTATTACCTGAGTACGATGCAAACACACTTTGACAATTAAAGAAATGCCTTATTTTCGAGGTACTGTTAAGGATACATAATAGCAGCCAGAAAGCATCTCCAGAAGAGACTGTGGGAAGCTACTCATATAGCCAGTAATGAACGTTATGCACTTTTGAATGTCAAAGTTTTCCGCTCATCTGGTTTTACAATTTCCACAGGTGTCAGGTTAATGTATAAATATATTTATACGGTTACCGTTGAGACTGAATAAAGAAATACACAGCACTCGCGGTTAGTTAAAAGAATTTTCCCTAAAGATCATTCCGCGGACTGCTATTCTGTAACGCCACTACACTTTCAGACCTAAAAAGCGTATATTTCTGTGTTTTAGATAACATGAGAGGAATTATTGCTTCAACAAAATGCGACTGTTCCGAACGTTCATTAGATGTGAAGAAAAAGTGAGGACTGTTACAAAGAGTTGGTAATCAAAGAAGTTACACAATTCATATATCCCAAGAGGTAATAAAAAACGTACTTATACTGTAGTGCTCCGACGCTACAAAAGTAGCACAAACTTTGATGTAGCGCGAATAAATATCCAATGTCCACATTCATATTCGGATAATAAAGACAATAGGCTCTTGTGGCCTGAGTTAATCCTTGAATTTTTTGTCTCATCGGAGATCTAATTAGCCTTCGGAAGCTTTCACTCATGTGGCTGATACGACTTGTTCAGTATAGAGTCGTATTCGTTGACCAATCTATGACAGAATTAGGATTCCACACGTATTCTATTTGTCCTCGGACTCATAGCCTTCTTGTAATGACTTCGCAAAGTTATCCTAGATAACGATAAAAGTTTAGGAAAGTCAGTCCCCAAATCACACTCTGACATACGATATGCCAGAATTACGTAACCTCTCCTCCTTCGCAGTGGTAATGGGAATATTTAATTCAATTTTAGATTTTCCCGTCGATTGATTGGGAATGTGTTCGAATGTTCTGTCATATTCGCATTAGGAAGATGTGGGATACCACCGAATAATTCGTTTTCTGTCCTCCAGGGTAAGTGTATTCAATAGTGCTTTTATGAGGAAGTGCAAACCAAACTGATTTCTTTGTGCTTGATGCTTGATTGTATCGTAAAGGTCCATGATCTTTGTTGAATTTCTGCGTAGCGTGTTCCACCACCCGGCTGTCGCAGCTTTGGTTGACTCTAAGGGAAGTTGTGTGGAGACTGGTTACGTGTGGTCTGTAGGATGTGGTATGATGAGACTGTGTCCTTCCTGTTAATTGGGTTGATCCTTTTGTGGTGAGAGCTGTCTGCTAGCCGAAATTGGAAGACAGCAATTTACGTCAGTGTCTTCTTCCCAAGTCTTGGTCATAAAAAAAACAAGAACAAAGACTAACTCAACAACCAATGACAGCAGACTTTGCGTGGGCGGATACGATTAGCAAATATATGGTCTGACCATCAAAGAAACAGCCACAAAGAGATGACAGAATAACTCATAGTGAGAAAACAACCGATCAGAAGACGCTGTTTCTCTGTTAACAATAACGGATAATAATGTACGTAAAAATTTATAAATATCTGTTGATTTTCTCAATAAACGATCTGTTGCCTGGCCCTTGTCTTCTGTCGTTACACTTTCACTCGTTAGACATCCGATGTGGTGGTGGTCTATAATGACAGACATAAAAATTGTAGATTATGTATACTTGATAAGAAAAACGTACAAACAGATGGATAATTAAATCCGATAGTTAAAAACTGAGCAAAAATAATCTGAAACAATATTGGTTATATAACATCCTAGTCTTAGCAGTAGATCTCCCATCTCTAAATCGCTATTTTGACTAGACCAGTGAATCTATGTTAAATTTTATGATGTCTTTCTGTTATAGTTCAGTATTTGTGATTTGTAGGTTTTCATCGGTTTCGGCTAGTATGCGCTATCAGACAAAACATTCTAACCAGCTATTCACTTGAAAAATATCCCCCACACTGGGATAGACAACGAAGTCAGAGCTAACTTCAGAAACCACGACAACAACATTTATTCTTCACAACACAAAGCATATCCATCGTTAAAACATCAGCGGAAACTCAAAGAGACAGTCAATATCTGACCGATAACATAACCTAGAAGATACCCCGAAATAAATCCACCAAAAATTGTCCAGTCACGTAACTATCGGCGCACACTAACTATAACTTCACAACTAACAAAGAAAGTTAATCCGTTCTAAAACTATCCCTGTTATGACAAAAGGTTTTGAACGTGAGGAAATTCAACGTCACTACTTAATTAATCAAGAAGTCTCATTCGACCGAAATCGCGAAGACACGATACACTCTCAAACCTGATTCATTTTCACTGATAAATTCAATTATCACCTGCTGGAGGACACTGCTTTCAGGGAGTGCTCAAAGTGCGACACACGTTAGCATTTTCTTACACATTGCTATTAAGATTTGTGCTATTGACCACAACTGTATTTATGCAACAGAAAAACTTACTTCAATTACGCTGGTTTACACGCTGTTCACTTTTATTCCTTTCTCTTTGGTCAACGTAATTCAGAAAGTACAGCTGTAGTTTCTCCATGTAGGTTCATCTCGTGGTTATCTTAATATGCAGTAGGCAGTACTTTGCATGACTGACGTCAGTAGAAAAACACCAAAACACTAGAAACATGGTGAGCAAGATAGATAATCAAGTGAAGCATATATACCGATTTCCGTAGGTGCGACTGACTATCATATGGTTTTACCAAGGACCTAACAAGGCAGCTCTCAGTACCAAGAATATTTTCAGAGCGGGAACGGTGATGACATGCACATCAGCGCAACGATTCCAAAATGAGACTCAAGTCGAGGTTGATGGAGATGTGTATTACTTAAACTGAAATTTGCAAGCGGAATGATACTGACCGAGGGAGCTGAAGATATTCTTCCACTAAAATCTTGCATCATTTTTCACTGGAGTTTCTTCAGGGGTGAGATACTTGTTCAAAAAGGTGTTTACAGCTTACATACAATTCAAATACTTTCTCAGCAGAATAAAGGATTGAAAAATTTACTACGCAGGACAGTGCTTGAAGTTACTGAAAATTTTCAGGATATTTTTTTGATTTTAACTAGTGTCTAAAACTAGTACGACATTGCTTTGAATTTTCCTGTCGTTGTTCCTCCTAAAATGCACTGAGTTGCACTGAGATTCTACTCGATACTCGTCTTTTGCATCCAACTTCGTCATTGTATTATATTGCGTTTGTCTTACTGCTTTCAGGATTTTGCTCAGCTACACCAATGGCTGCCGCATACAGCAATTCTCGTTATATGCCCACCTACCCGAAATACCAATCTCTTGATTAGACTCCTGCGGACAGAATTTTCGATTCTTTTCTAATAGGAATATCTGTATTGGATTTCAAGTACTTTAAGAGTGAGTGTAGTGAACAGCTGTTGGCTGTGAATTACTTTTTTGTGAAAGAGAAGTTTCAACATGTATAGTTTTGTCTTCAACACAGTTGGTTACCATTTGGCAGTTTTCAGATATTTCATCGCTAAAACTTTTGAAGTTACTCAGGTATGACTGCCTACTACATGCGGCTCAATGAACCTCTGTACGCTAAATAATGAAAGGTTTAACTTGTTTGTGGGTATAATGATCCTCGCAGTTAGTACTGACAGAGTATTAGCTTAGTCTTGGTGAGAACCCAGATGATTTATCTGATAACTCTGTCTCTGGAGTACATGGTATTACAGCAGCATAAAAACTGATACGATATAATAGTCCCTCGAACAAAGAACAAATTGTAATAGTGTATGGTATAAAATGTTCGACCTGGGCTAAGTCCACATACCTATAAGGAGAAAAAATAAGGAATATTTTTACGGATCTCTATATGACGGGCGATCAGTCAAGAGTAAATGGCACTTAGCAGTCAAGTAGGTAGTTATAGTTCAAAGATTATAACACGGCATTTGGTTAGTAGGTTACCGAGTCACTTATACGCCGTAGTTCACAGAAACAGCGCAGTGATTTGGTTTGATGAGATTAAACATAATATAGTCTAATTGTTTTCTGTGTTCCAACCGAATTGATTTTTCATCGATACAAGTCTGGCACTCTAGGAAGCTAGGTAGTCGGGCTACTTTAACTAGTTTGAGCTCGCTTTCGGTTTACCTCAACTAGAGGTAACTCTCATTATTGTACTGTGGCCATCTGTCGTACTAGATCTCACCCGCTAACACGCTGCCTGTTCATTGTTGGTGTGATGACCAGAATTTTCCCAAAACCACCTCAACTGGCGAATGGAGATTATAATGCTTACGGCGACCCAAAGGTGTATTTATTAACAGTGGTTTGAAGAGAGTACAGAGACACACAGTCACACCACAGTGCTGCCGCAGATTCCTTCTCCCTTGAAAATCCAGCTATTCACCGAGCTTTTCAGTAAGCACCGATAAACAGTTCAGTGTGAAATGACTTAGATTCAACTGCTTTGACGAAATTCGTTGGTCCCCCACAGTGCTACACTTTATATTTATCATAGAAGGTATTGATATTCGGTATGTTTTGGCAAATATTGATATCGTAGAAATCCTTGGAGCCGTCTCCTTCTTCTGAAGTTCAGCTAAGGCTGTAATAGCTAATGAGCGTCTAGAGAAAAAAGGTATTTATAGCCTCACTGCAATAACTTCTCAACAACCTCTACTTGTATACATGCTTAAATAAGCACAATTTTTTCTCCTTTTTCCATTAGTTGAATGTTATGGATGGCTTGATCATATATTTCGAGTGGCCCATACCATGCGACCGGTGATATATGTTGTAGGAATCCAGGTATGCATATATGTCCTCATAAGGAAAAACGTACAAACGTCAATGAAGGTGGTAATAATAGTTCCTCATATTACATATAATCAGGCAACTCTACATGGAAAGCATGCAGTTCTTGCATGCACGACCAAACATAGTATAAATTACAACTGTGAAAATAACAATGAATTAGCACTTTTTCAAAACTTTATATAGTTGAATTATAATACAGGTAATCATAACAGGCCCGAATGAATGCTATACTGTAAACCATTCACTAATGTCGCCATCACGGCTGCGCGGCAACTAAACATCCGTTTCGTTTCCTGCTGATAATTATACCCAACCAACGAACAGTCTATGTTTGATAAATAATACAAGATAAACTCGGAGTTAATTCCCTTTTTATTACCAAGGAGTTATAGTCAATGGATTTTATAGTGTTCTCCATCAATGGTTAGTCCAAGTGTAAAATAGTAAAAAGGAAGAGAAAAAAGATGACTGTCTTCACCTATATAGGGTAATTTTAGGACCAGATACTGAAAAAGAAATTAAAGCCACATGTTATAGTACATAAAACAGGTATCAGAAAAGCGAAAGTTTAATCATATTTATGCTGTTTATACAGTAAGATGTCCTTCTGAAGTCGCGAGATAATACCATAAGCTTGTATTCAGAGAGTTTATACCCAAGCTGTGACATTCAGTCAAGTTTTGTGTTTTTTTGTCGAAGTTATTCAAACTGAGGAACCTCGGCAATAGAAG